ATTGTCAAAATTTAGGAAAAAATACATATTTAGATTTTTAAAGTTTTTTATAGTGCTAATCTCTGCACTTAAGAGATTAGCGCTTTAAATTGCACTTAAGTTATATGCACTTAAGAGCAGAGATTAGCACTATAAAAAACTTTAAAAAATTATAAAAAGCAATGGCGACATCTCTCGTTCGAATTATCGTTGTAAAACGATATTCGAAATTGTTTGTATGCTGGAAAGGATATAACAATAGATGCGCCAATCTTTTCGTACTTTTTCTACATATTTTAATACATCTTTAGATTTATCTAGTATAGATTTTACCTCAAAAAGCATACTTCTATTGGATTAAATAGAAGTAAGCCTATATTACTCAAGTGTTTTCTAAGCTTTCTCCAGAAACTCGTAGCAGTATTAATAGATGAAAATGTCGTTGCATCTGATTACTGAGGAGATGTTTTCTTGTTAAATTGTTTGTCCATTGTTGTTAAATTGACAGCCAATTGTCTTACGTCACTGAATCCGTGCTATTATTCCGTCTGTCCAACGCGTAGACCTCATTTCTCATTTAATGTACTAGCATGCGACCATACAAAACTCACTGTACATACAAATTAATGAGCGGCTAACGATTTAGCACGCTTTCCGTTCACATAACCGTCTGCCATGGCCAAATTGGAACAATGTTTGATGAACAACGATTTCTAGACTTCATGTTGATCCATATCTTTTTACAGAGACAATAAAGGTATTCTAAAAATGTAGTTATTTAGAGTTACCGGACTATACCCTAACTGTATCTTAACTTTATGCAAGGATCGTTTGGGAAAAGCCTTTATGTCTACTCTACTATGTCTACTCCCTATATGAATATGCGGAGATAACGAGATAGATATTTTTTTAGTTTTAATGTACATATAAATATTTATATTGGGGTATTTTATTAACTATGATCAATTATTATTGACCATAATTAATTTATAATTAAATACGTACCCCAATAGACGTGACTTTTGTGCCGTCCATATGATCATGATTACGAAATCTCGTCCTATGATACATTTGAAAGTAAAGTCGCGAAGAGGGGCGGGTCGGTTCACCAATAAATCAAACATTCAACGCGGCGCTGTTGTCAGATTCGACGCATCAGAAAAAAAAAACATACGAGCATTAGAGCTTCGTGGAGATATCGGTTTCCGTACGCTAAAAGTTACGCTGAACGTTGGACCGCGACCTCGACTGACCGCGCCGTTTCATTGCATTCATCGGCGGCACAATAAATCAAAGTGAAAACTCGTTTACTATGTAAACGTCAAGGACACTCGGCGAGCAACACTCGAGAACGCAATCGCACTGCTCCGATTATTGTGGAACCACGAACCCCGCAGTGATACATTGCGACTGTTGTTTTTAGATCGCATTTCGGCTTTGTAGTAATGCATCGATGGACCGTCGCGGACGATGATCAATCGAACCGAAGTATAATTCGAGCGGTTACATTGGTACAGGGCCGCTATTGTTAACCCGCCGTTGGGTAGATAACGCGCGGCTGGCTTCGACGAACCAACTTATCGGCGTTTATAAATACTTCGCGTTATCAATTTACGCTTTTCGTTATTAAATCGTTCGTTATGTGCGCGGGGGGACAATCAAATTACTTGTGTGATTGTGTGAAAAAATATAGATCTGTAAAAAAGTGAAGTTGAATTTTATTAGCTCTGCAATAGATGTCTTAATATTTTTGTATATAATAAATTCACATAAAGATGTCCAAATTAAAAACATGATAAATCCGTAAAATAGTTTTATTCAATAAAGTTCTTGTGTTATTCTACTAAAAGATTTAAAAAAAAATTTAAATGTGTTCATTAAAGCCTAATAATGAGTATAGGAGACATGAGATTTACATTTTAAACTATTATACAATTGTTGCACTATACTTGTTAAGCTTAAAATTGATTACACTCTATCAATGAAAAAAGGACGAAATAATACCGTGGCAACCAGACGGAATTGTAAGAAAGAAATGTTAAGCCGCTTGAGGAAATGGTAGGCGCTATGATGAAATTATTATCATTGATCTAACTGTTAAATAACTGTTTAGGAACCCGTGTGTTGTGTCTGAGGGTATGGGTTCGACACCAGTGTCTGGTCCAGTTCGTTCTAGTATCTGGTCGTTTATAAATCTATAATGTGTTTATTCACAAAACGTGAGTACACTTAGTCCGCTGTGGGTACGTTCAACTTTGCTTTTTTCTTTTGCATATTCATTGTATTCCATTTTTTTTATCTTTGAAACACTTCCACTCCCGAAAAAGTTGCCAGCCGTATATTTGCATAAACATAGACTCCGCAGTACTGGAGTAAGCTGACCTAGTATCGAATATGGTGCATCCAGCGAAAATATCGCATGCGGGGAGAACATTGTTCCGTTTTGTACTTTTTCGGATACCGCCTGCATCGCTTCAATGCACATAAAGCACTAAGAGCATGTGCTCGCATATTTAGCACTATAATAACTACTTTTTCGTATAGTCTTTAAAAAGATGGAAGATATATACATTCGTACATTTGTGCGGTCGCACTTTATGAAATCGCCGTGTCTAGACTGCGTTTAGTCGATATCTGAAATCGTAATTTTACGTCTCATTAAAGTCTCGAATTGGATAAGAAATATATCCCACTTAATACGAAAATTATGCAGTTTGCTGGCTTCCTTCCAGGGTGGAGGGAAGCTGTTTTTAAAAATGATAAATAAATATTCGCAACAAACCGTTAGTCGCACTTTACGACACTTTAAGAGGAATGGCGGAGTTTTATGATCGCAGCGCTATTGTGCATAAGGAGAGCTAAGAGATTTGTCTTTTATAATTCGCGAACATATTTTCCTTAATATCATGATCGCATCCATCTCGAATTGAACTTTACAATGTTTATTATGCAACTCATTTGGTTCTATTATAGTTCTGTGTTCGCAATTGCCACGGTTAACAAAGCTAACGCGCAATAACACCCAAATTACATTACAACAATCTCATTCAGTTTGCACGGCAGTTAATTAACGGCTTGTCTTACGTTGCGAGCGGCAACTGAATTATGTACTCGGACCGAGATTTATACTCGACTCGGTGCGAGTGCAAGGTTTTCCCGCGGCGTCGTTCATCGCAAATTGAATTGGTACGTCCACTCGTGAGTTACGTCCGGTGCCGCCTGTCGCTGCTGCTGTGAAACATGAGATGGAATTGGCTTTTAGATTATTTAGCGTATCGAATCGAACTCTCTCGTATCTCGCAAATGACAGTTTTTAAAGTGATACCTCTTTATACGCGTTTCATTCGCATTTCGGAAATGAGATTAGTTTATTTTTGACTGTGTAACGAAGTTGCGCGTGGTACATATAGTTTGTTTGACGTGTGACGAAATGGTAAAAATCTTATTAATAAAATAAAATTTGGTAAAAGATGTACATTTAAAATGTAATAGTTATATTTAAAAAATTTTTTTTTGACTGAATGAGTCTATTTAATAATTATGTTTGTAAAATTTATTTTCTTCTATCGTCGTTTTCTCGGTTAAGTATTGTTTGAATTACAAAAAAAAATGTTACTAATAAGGCCAAAGAAGTGTAACTTATTACGTGAGTACTCACACTGTTTTTTTTTTTTTCTTAATCTCGTCACATCGAGATGGGGAAGAAGATATGTGCCAGTTACTATTCTTCTCAGTTTTTGTGACTATCGAAAGCAGTGGAGAACTTTAGGTAGGGTTGGAAATGGTGCACGCTTTCTACAGTACGATAAAAACGAGACAGTACAATTTATCCCACTCAACCCTAAAACCTCCTAACGTCATTGTCAACTTGGTTTAAAATTTGCCTCGTGACTATGAACGCCGTAAAGTGTTCGCAATGTTGAGAATTTAAAATCAAAATTAAATGCGCTAAAGCCGCAAAATTCTTCCATTACATTTGCTTCAATATTTTTATTGAAAAAGCCAGAGCAGATTGAAAGCTTTAGTTTATTCATGTTGATAAAGATAACATAACTTGTTAATTTATATATTAAATAGATGCGTCTACGATTGCAGACAATGTGTATAAGATTTAATATACATCGCTATTTATATAATCATTGGTGCCTATGTCAGTGGTCGTATAACTTCTCAACGACTTGACCAATTGAGGTCATGCAATGGTTCGTAGCAATGATAGGATATAGAGCAACGTCTGCCAGACCATATCTACCATTTAAATATTAATGAAATGTTTCGCAAATTAAATCGTAAAATTAAACGACACAACTCTCGAACGTATGAGAGATTTAATAGTAATGTAGCAAAATGTAAATGTGGCATTAAATTCTCACACTCGCCCTTAGGGAGAGGTGCGCTAATAAAGTCCAACTTTTCCCATCACGAGACTTGTAAATGGAGGAGGTGGTAATAAATATAATTTCCAATTATTTTATAAATATGGTTAAACTGACGTGTTTATTTAATTTTCTCTTTGTTTATAATAATAGAGTACAGACCAAGGAAGGGAATTCGATTCGATCTTCTTACGCTCGATTTAATTTTCGATTCGTTAAAATTAAACAAGAATATGATGAAAATGGAGTTATAAAGTTTAATTTGATGTACGAAGATCATACTAATGCGACAGCGTGGTTACTGTTTTTAATAGCCAGTTTCGACGTTAGTCTAGAGGTATGTGATTACTTTATGGATAAAAATGAGCTTTACATAAACGTCTCTCATTGAAGTGTGTATCAAAGTAGAGAAATTTTTAATGAATATTGCTAATTACGATAACAAATCGTGTATTACGATTTTGTTACCCTTTGCTAAGATTTTAACATATACCTTTGCTAACACTTTTACATACCGGTAAATGCGTAAATCGTTGATAAAAGATTTTTTTTGTTTACCATCTCTTTTTTACCATAATGGACGCCTTTATTTCTTTGCTGTCGCCATTCCCCGAGCTCGAACGAAAAGGTTTATCTCCTTTCGTAATGCGAACGGCAAAAGTGTGGAACAATTTGCCGTCGTCATTTTCCTCGTCGGAGAACAACGCGCGTGGCGCAGTGCTCTTTCTGCCTGAAAACAACTTCACTACTTACAACTTTACCATCAAATGGGTTAGTCGTCAAGCACTGGACATATTGTGATTAAAACATGAACACGTCTTGCGAATTATTTCATCGTGTTGTCTGACTGACAATTTTTTCACGTAAAAGGTTATTCTTAATTCTTAGTCTTTTAAATGCCGCGGCGACTTTATTCCCCAGATTAAACGCGGAGGAGACTTCCATTTCACGGTTGTATTCGGTGAGGTCTTGGTACATCCGCGGGCTTACTGTACCCTATTAGTACAACAGCAGCGCGGCCCTACCACGGTTAACGGAAACATATTCATCATTCACATTAACGTTAATCTATCTCAGTAAATCGTACGAAGTACGCACCTATTTGGTTTCATGCCTTCGTTACATATTTTTCTAATTGTCATTCATTCGTTCGTTGCAGGTACGACAAGTGGGACCGGGGCGGGGGTGGGCGGCGGCGGCGGGGGGGCGGCGGGTGGCGGTGGGGGGCGGCGGCGGGGGCGCGGCGGGCGGCGCCGGCGGCGCTTGGGCGGGCCGCGAGCGCGAGCGCGAACGCGAACGCGACCGCGAGCGCGAGCGGCAGGCTCGCGCGCACCAGATGTCGCACGCGCACGCCGCCGAGCCGGACGCCTCGTCGCTGTTCCCGGCCCCTGTCAGGGTGAGTGCCCCACAACCTGTCTATGTCCTCTGTACAATAACTGCCAACCGCCACTGTTTTTTTATTGGACTGTACTAGGGCCACGCAATGTTGTTCACTGATGCACGAATGGGCGGGTAATGTTGGAGTTAGTTAACATGATGGTTCCCTGACAAATTATTTAATGGTATAGGAGTTTGAAGTTGAATTCTTTGATTAATTAATATGCAAGCGAGATACGTGTTGTAGGATGAGGCTCAAGGCGATATCAGGAAGAAAGTTATCGTTGTTCTGCAGTTGTCATGTTCTTCTTTATATATATAATTGTTCTGTACGTGTGCATGTCACTGAACTCCTCCTAAACGGCGGGACCGATTTTAATGAAATTTTTTGTGCGTATTCAGGTCGATTCGAGAATTGTTTAGATTAATAATTCGGTCAGTTTTTTTTCACAAGACCACGTCTGTCGGGTTCGGTAGTTTTATATAGAGCTACCTACCTACAACTCGCGCCTTATTAAATTCTAATATCTGAACAATCGATTAATGGTTCTGGAAATACGTAAGCAAACAGTCATAATAATAAATGGAAGTGAGGTCTGTTCGAACGCATTTTAGCTGCTTTCCGTTCTAATGCCACGATTTTTATGAAAAAGATTAACTTATTCTACTTGTCCATTTTCGTCAATAGCGGCAAACATACGCTTTAAAATGGCATTTGAATCATTAAATTTGATGAATAACTCTATGAAGTTATTGCGTTCTGTGGTTTCGGACAGAAAAATACCTTTGAGGAATGATTTATAGCTCCTAATGTTAAAATTACCACAAATGCTATTTATTTCTGAAATAATTAATCATCCATGGTATGTGTCAATTAGGATTGTACTCACGTCAAAATACGGAAAATTTAACACTAAGGAGAAACCGAATTCAGTTTCACCACTTGTTATTAAAAAGACTTGTTTTTTTAATGTAAATACAACTATAAATACCACTTTACACTAGTTATCACGTGCAATTGACCATGATAATAACGGTACTGAATAGTCTGCCAGTAAAGTTGTTAAAAACAGAATGAGTTCACAAATACGCAATTTACTTATTACTCTCGGGATTTACCAACAAGCGGGAAAACATAAAAAATTAAATCAGCGCTAAAAATAGAGATAGAAGTCGACATAGACAGACTTGGTGATTTCGCGTATTAACGAATTTAAAGTGATGAAATTATTTCATAGGTTGCGTTTGATTTTATTTTTAATTATTATAATCTATATATATATATATATTACCGCCACGTAGGCCACGTATGCTTCATATTTGTTTCGCTGCCGTCTCAATTACTTCTTTGTTATTAACAGATAATATCATAGACTGAAAAACGTTTTTCTTCGAAATAAGATTTTTTTTACTAATTTTTAATTCTCTATTCGGTAAAGTGCGAAATTTGCGCAGGGGTTTAATTCGTGTTTTAAAATTTCAAACTACGCAAAAGCCAGCAAAAATTTAACCGCTGCACAGAAGATGTTACAGTGTACATCAGAAAAATATTATTGTGGAAGGTTTCAGGCGATGCAATTCGGTAAACGCAATCTACCGGTGGCTAGCGGCGGTGATGTTTTTGAATGGGTCGGCTTATCGTGACCGCCCGGCGCGACCCACTTTGTGTACCGCCGTGCCACAATGCATGTGCAAGTACCCGCACATGTTTCTACTTCACCGTAGGAATGTTTCCGATAACGCGGCAAAATTAAAAGGATACCTTATCATGCTATACGGATTTTTCTATGTGCTAGCGAGTGGGATGTTCCCTGATGTTAACTGATTACCGCCAACCGTGGACATTTATACCAACTAAGGGTTTGAACGATTAAAACTGGGCTTCAGTTAACTCACTTACCAAACGGAACGCGAAAGCTTCGTAGAAAAGCCTGCCCATTCTTGCAACAACAGAAGCTGCTACGTGACTCTACCACAGTTCCAAACATGTACGGTTTAAGCCCCCGTATTGTCTGCGGCGGCTGTGTGATGTTGAATGAAGTGACTGTTACAACCAGGTTTCCTTGTTCTTTGTCCATTGGTATTCCATTTTCTTCCATTGGTCCATTTGGGAGCCTCTGGCGTTGCAAATGTTCATGAGTGGAGGTGAACACTCAATGTCGTCTATAAAAACTAGCAACCCGCCCCGGCTTCGCACGGGGGCAACGTATTATACTTATAAACCTTCCTCTTAAATCACTCTATCTATTAAAAAAAACCGCATCAGATCCGTAGCGTAGTTTTAAAGATCTAAGCATACATAGGGACAGACAGACAGCGGGATAACTTTGTTTTATACTGTGTAGTAAAGATATTTCGTCGAAGTTCAATGAAATGTTTTCGCTTGCAAAATGATAACGCGTGCGGTGATGACGCTCGCCGGCAGACGGTCATTGCTATCGCAAATTTTTTTGTGGTACATTCGTTTTTTTTTTAGTTCGCTTTGCGATAACACGCTCTGATTCGATAGTCGTTAGCTCTGTATCATTGACATGTTGAATATAATGTTAGTTGCTAATTTTGTTTCTTTTCGGAAACGATTGTTACTTATATCTCCATATATTATTTCTAATGTCATCTATATTTAAATGAAAGATAGTGAATGAGATTAAAATTGTTTAAAATGATCCCTTTTATTGATATATACTTTTATTTATATTGCCTTTAATTTAATATATACAAGCAAATATGTGACATCCACAAACAATTAAGTGTAAACAACTTCGAATATATGGAAAGGGGATATTACAATGTCGAAGAATACGTTGAAGACTAGGATGAGTGGAAATGACTCTTGCTCTGCATTTACAAGTTTCCTGGCTGCTGCTAATTTATAATCATATACTTTTAGTACTCATTTAATAAAAAAAATAAGACCGCTGAGTTTCTTGCCGGTTCTTCTCTGGACCAGGTCTGGTTTAGTGAACCGGTGGTAGTCTTTTGACGTTCAATAAGAGCTTAAAATAAGCTTATATTGAACAAAGAAATTTTTAATTGACTTTGACAACCTGCATTCAAATCTCAGTGCCGGTAAATTTTCGCCTTGGCTGCAGAGGCTTGCCCTAAAAATAAAAATTAATCTTAAAAAATATTTTAAAAATATGCGTTGTCCGCCAATCCGTTGTGGGGCCGCGTGGACAGAATGGGTTTTTACAGCTTACTTTTTATATACACATTTGTATGTAAAGTATTATAACGTATGAAATTAGCAGTCGACGTCTAATCCAGGGTCCGGATTGTGGACTATATTAAACTCTTATTTTCTCCACTGAATACAAAAAGTCCTTTCTACGTAGACAATTACAATTTGCCGTGTGCAAGATAACGCTGGATTGAGCCGTACGGCAACATAGTAAAACTATATAAAAGATAACCAGGAAAGTAGGCCTTTGCCCAACAGTGGGACACTAATGGCTGATAAATGTAAATGTAAATATTGCGACGAAGCTCCACTTTGTGCTTTCGCGCGTAGTAAAACTACTAAGCGGATTTCACTTGCATATTTTTATACATTTTACTTACTATTGCATTTATTACGAAAGGAACATTCGTGAAGGTATCTATTAGTTTCGAGTGTTCCTTGAATTTAGAAACAAAAGGAACCCGCCTATCTCGAAGCAGCTGTTTAGTGTTGTATTCTCTAAGAGTTGAGATCGCCTGCCTACAAAGTTAATACAAAAGCGCCCAACCCACCTAGCGCCGTAATCCACGCTGATCCCCTTTTAACGATACTAATTCTAATAAAATGGGACACCGATCTACCGCCTACAAAAACTTCGACGCCTAAATAAGCGTCAAAGTTGACATTCCCGGAACGATATTGAAAAGCAAACGTGGGGAGATCCCTTCAAAGGGAAGTTTGATCCCCATTACTTATATTTAAAACGTAGGCTCGGGAGCAATTAAACTAAGAGATTATATCGTAAATGAATATTTCCTCTCATCGAGCGAGACTGAACTTGTCAACTCCGCGTCTTCTCACGTTTTTGACGTTATACTTCTTTTGGCACGTTTGCAAAAATTATGAGAGCGACACGATGGTTGGTAACCAATTTAACCTCGGCATAGTTTCCGTTTATATAACAACTTTTTGACCATTTACCAATAATTACACGTAATTTAAATAAATTTATCGTTATCAATTAAATTTAATATTTTCACGCGAAAGAAGTATAAGTTACAACGTGCGTACATAAGTACATACATACCTTTTTTATTCTTTTTTATGGAAAAAAGGAGCAAACGCGCAGAAGGCTCACCAGTTTACTGCTCAGGGGACTACAGCACTCTGAAATTTTACGTACACTTTCTTCTTCTTCTACATATCTTCACCTTTGTTGTATAGTAATGGCAGATTCTTTATTTCGAATGTTGTTTTATGCTATCAGAGGGAGGACATTAATGCATCGCAACCGTTAACCGTTAATTCAACGACAATCGAGATATCGATATCTTAATGAAGCGTGTCCAAGCAATTAAAGTTCTAATAGCATGTTACAAAAGACGTGCTGCTAATCATGATGCCACTAATGTGCGGCTTGGAGGCATCCCGCGTGTTCGTCTCATTTAATATTCACTGTGCCACTCCGAAGGTCGCCGAGATCAAAGGTTTTACGTTATGTTATTACCAATGTTATTTTTTAATTAAAGCCAGCAGGTGACGCTGCAATATTAACGGGTTACGTTTAATTATCGTTAATAACGCGTTTCGAACAATATGTTGCATGGAATCGTGAAATTCATTGTCCCATTATAAAGCGAGCGGTTATGCGGAAGCACGTGCATGTTAATTTCGATTCCATATTAATAACCAAAAGGAGTCCTAGGTATTCGCTATCTGCCCTTGTTGACGAATGTTCTATTGTCGATACGCCGAAACTCCCATAATTCTTCATCAAATTAGATTCAAACAACTTTTTAAGGCGTGTTTGTCGCTATTGATGAAAATAAAACGAGTCAAATTGAATGTTTAAATAAAACTTATGAAGAATGTATGACAATGTTATCTACTGACAATTTAACAAAAACATTATTTGTCAATATGAGATACCTTCAATTGATTATTCACACATTGATTAGTTTCACTTATTAACACGTTTACATGATAATGTTACCATTAATTCACTGATCAGTTGCTCAAGGCGAAAAACTGTGCGAAAATTTCGCATGGGTCAACTAGCTATTATCTTTAAATGTCTATATAACTCTTCTGTGCGTATGTATGTGATTGAACTCCTGGCTGGACCGATTTTGCTAATAATTTTCGTGTGTGTTCTGAATTGTTTAGATTCACCATTCAGTACGCTACATAATATTCTTGTGGTTTTTTTATATATAAGTTGTTGTCGAATTTAAGACATGTGTACAGGAAAACGTCTGTCGGGTCCGCAAGTATTATTATATAAGTAATCCCATTGTATTCAAGAACAAAAGGGTTATACCGCGATTCGAAACAAAAGAATGAAAGGTCTTGCTTGACTCTTAGTCGAACGACGATATTTGCTTCCGTACTATCGGCTTCCGTCGTCGCGGCTTACGTGAATATATTTCGCTCGCGAAGATTGCAGTGGACGCAAAATATGACGTTACAATATACAGCGTGTCGTTACCATCGCGACAATAAATGAACACACGTCTAACGCTACTTGCCAATAATCATAAAAAAATATTAACGTTAAACAAAATCCATAATTAAAAAAAAATATTTTTCAAACAAACTAATTAAGTAAAAAAGAAATAAAATTTGTAACATCCTATACAACTCCCGCCACAGCGTCGCATTACAAGCCTCTCCTTTTAACAGTATGTTTTGTCTCTTTTAAATTCATTCAACCCATTCATATGCTTTGTGACCTTAACAAATGAACTTTACGTCACAGTTTTATACGTAAGGGTGTTCTAAAATTGTTTGTTTTGGAAAATGTAATAACTTGGTAAATATTGATATTTAAAGAATGTAAATGTATAATATGATTTTAAAAAGTTATCCTCTATATGTGTGTTCATTTATTGTCGCGATGGTAACGACACGCTGTATAGTGAACATTGTACGACATTCTGTTTTCACTGGACAAATATCCTTGCGTTGTTTATTTTATGCCGTATACAAAATACATTGTCAATTGGAACCTCTATTACAATTTTGATTTTATTTAAAAAAAATGTTGTTGGTCGTAATGTCGCTTTTTTATACCTAATCAATCATTTTTTATACCAATTCAATCTCACCGCACAAAAATCGCGAGCTATATTTGTGTTTTTTACCTTTCGTCCATTAATGTGATGCGAAAGAGTTGGAGAATAATTATAATCACACACAGCCAAGCGTGCACAAGTACAACACGTAATAATTTGACATTCTCATTATAGCGAGGACTGCATATATGTAAAAACTTTTAGCGGTACTGGTGCAACAATTCATTCCTAATTCCGGATTGTGTTTTAAATTCAATTATTAAAAAAAAGTAGGCAACATGTTTTTATGACGTTAAACATAACGACGCGCTAGACAAACATATCAGTGCCTAATGCGACCGCAAAACACTGTCACTACAGCGTTGGGGCTCGTTTCCGCTTTGCTCTTCCCCCAGTATAGTCCACTGCGCCGCGGGGAGGCGTCGGCGCTTGTGTGTGCTTGTGTGTGCACACGTGTCTGTGTGCCCGTTTCGCGTGTGCGTCGCAAAGTGGGTCGTGGCAATGCGGCCGGCCGGCTGTGAATTGTGATAAGCCAACCGCTTTGGGAACATTATTGTGAGTGCATTCCGCTCTCGCAAGTTATTCCTACGTACGGGGACGTCCAATGGTCACGTCGTTGAGCGAATTCTGAAAACAGTCGATGCGCGAATATTGTTATCGCATTCAATTCGCTCAGATGTTGTTTTTTTACATTTGAGTATTATGATGAGTAATAATTTGTTTGCCCCACAGGCGTCCGTATAACATTAACCCAATTGGATTGTTATATTGAAAGTTTATAAATAAATCTTTGTGGTTGTTGCCGCAAACTTAGTGTACGAGTTGTTTAAATAAAATAATGAAGCGTCTAAAGTATCCACTAACATATTAGTTGGCTATAGAAATATTTTAAAATATGTAGATAAGTTTTATCTTCAGTGCAGAGACTTACAATACAAATAAAAATCTAATTTAAATAATGAATACTAGCTGGCCCGGCAAACGTTGTTTTGCCATATAAATTAATTGTAGGTTAGAAAAAAAAATTGGATGGACCGCCCTTATCATTTAGGTGGTTGAAAAATAGATGTTGTCCGATTCTTCACCCTGGCCGATATGCACACAATTTCAAATTTCACGAAAATCGGTCCAGCAGTTTCGGAGGAGTTCAATTACAAACACTGTGACAGAGAATTTTATCTATTAGATTGGTCGCTTCGTGACGTGTGCGACTAATGGTCGCGAATAAATAACTGAATTTCTCTACGCCGTACGATGTTATTGCTTTAATCACTAATATAGTGTAAAACAAAGTCGTCCCGCTGTCCGTCCCTATGTATGCTTAAATCTTTAAAACTACGCAACGGATCTTGATGCGGTTTTTTAACTAGATAGAATGATTCAAGAGGAAGGTGTATTTGTATAATAGACTGCACCCGTGCGCAGCCGGGGCGGGTCACAGTTTGATAATAAATTGATGCAACAACAACAAAGTGATGTGTGACAGAACGATAAATAATTGCTATTTATTAAAACGGATGATCGACACTTTCCTAAAACCGTCGTAAACCAAGAGCGGTTGGAACGTTCATCTGGCGACCGGTGGCAACAAAAACCTCGAACCCGCATGACATTGTCCTCGATCAACCTCGCGCGTTCTTCCTCAACGACTATTGACAGTCGAAACGGCTTACAACGCAACCACCGCCACCGTTATGGGCGTAACTTTTTAGGGTTCCGTACCCAAAGGGTTAGTTAACGGGGAAAAAAACGGGACCCTGTTACTAAGACTCTGCAGATGATATTTTTCTATTGCCGCTATAACAACAAAGCAGAATAAAAATATTTAAGTGGGGCTTTCGTAAAAAACATGATTTTCTGCCGTTTTTAACACTTCGTGTGCGAGTCCGACTTTTTGAGCTAGGCTAGACTTCGCTTCATCGGTCAATAGTACTAATGATCTCGGGGTGATATTTATGAGCAGCCATGGTTCTCGCCACAGTGGATAGTGAACCTGCGCGATACCAGAGGGGGAATGGGTTCGATCCCCATTACCGGAAAAATATTGTGTGCTAACCATTGCATTTTTCTAGTGCCTAGGTGTACTTATTTACAAAGAAAAAATATTTATTTAAGATGTTTATCGTTTACATAGTAAACGTAGCACAAAATTTTCTTAGTTTGAGACTTAATAGCGTTGTGGTTAAATATATCCTGGAAAAAAATATCTATTCTTTTACATTTTTATGTTTAACTCTATGTAAATCTTCATCGGTCACGGTGCCCGCGAGTTAGCCGACAGTTATCGCGGGCCACACGCGTCTCGTAACAGTCACACACGCACACATTCGTGTCGGCCGTCGTAGCTAAACCGTAGCGGGCTACGAGCGACTACGCGACGGTAACTGGAGCTCTACTCGAAGTGGTCGAGTTACGTGTACCGAAATCGCTCGAGTCGCGCATACGTGTGTGTATTACAATCTCGATACGATACGACCGCGTAACAAGCGGAGTGGTTTTATGGTGAATTGTGCGATTTTTACACGCAGCGTGACATTTGATTTTATTTGTTATAATTTCACACTCGTGTATCGCTTGTGTATTTAATGCCGTAAGCCACGCGGCGAGCTGCGACTATAGAACGTTTCAACGATCGATTTCCCTTTGAAATAAAGAGTCAAAAATCTTTTGATACATTAAGACTAATAGAATTTAAAGGGTTACCATGCGAGAGTTCTGCTGATAAATACCACCAATGCGTATTTAGTAAATGTAATGTAAAACCTTCAGTTTTGCCATGGGTCTGAAAGCACAAACATAATTCACTAAGTAAGTATACCAATCGACTAGTCCTTACTACGAATCACAAGCAATGAGATAATCGCCGAGTCTAAATGAAACAATTTTATTGCGTCGCACTGTAAGGGTCGCGTTGAAACGGGGTAAGGACATTGACTTACGCGCGTGCTCCCAATGTTACTCGTGTAAGCGCGTCGTAACGAATTCTGAATGAAGACGGCATCATCCCCAAATTAATATTAGTCCCCAGTACGGTCCCCTTTTTTTATTTACACTATTTTCTGTATGTTTTTAAATTATATATTATCTTAATATTATATATTTAACTAGCGGACCCGAGACGCTGTACACGTCGTAAATCCAAAGAAAAAAAATGAAACTTTTTTAATAAGTTTGTGAATCTAAACCTTTCCCGAATCCACCTCAAGACATCCAAAAATCGGTCGATCGATTTCATTAAAATCGGTCCAGCCACTTATGATGAGGTCACTGACATATGTACAGAAGAATTATATATATTAAATAATAAGATTATAATAAGATTATTGACAATAATTTTTATACAACAATCATATTTAAAATGAAGTCTGTCAATTTGGAGCTATATCTATTATTTGTTCTATCTAAGTACTGAATGATTTATCTAGTGTTTCGTGTGTTTATACTAACGACTGATTAGATATTCCATGTCTGTTACTTAACATATATTTCAAGTTATAATTTCGCGAAATAAGTGTTTTGACCAATTAGATGACCTCACATATTATCCTCGTGTACGGTGACGCGTCTCATCACTACATAGTATAAAACAAAGTCGCCCCACTGTCTGTCTGTCCCTATGTATGCTAAGATCTTTAGTATGATAGTATGACTCGAGGAAGGTTTATACGTATAATACATTGCACCCGTGCTATGCCTAAGCTGGACGCTAGTCTGTAATAAATTGGTCCTAAACAAACCAAACGACACGCTCAAAAGGCGCCGATGGCATTGGCCGTCTCCGTCCACATCTTACGGTTGGAAGAGTCGAAGCTTGTGCGCGTGTCGCGTGCAAAAAACCAATCGGACCACGAGCCCGTTCGAGTGACGCAACGGTAACACGATTTTGAGTTATGTGGGCCACTTGTGCGGCCGCGATCGTGCAACACCGCCTCGCATTTCAATGCCACACAGGCGCATAGTTGGATAACGTATAAAGTATGAATGATATACACAATGGGCCTTAGTGCAGCGTTTTTGTATACGGGCTAAGCGATAATGATAACAGCGAGCGCGAGAGGAGAACTATAGCGTGCGATATTCTGTCCGCCTCCGGCGGATATCGATGTGTGAGTTTTCAACCAACTTCAATAAATGAGGAGGTTCTCAATTCGACTGTATTTTTTTTTTCTATGTTTATTACCTCAGAACTATCGATTGAGTGAACTGATTTTGATGATTCTTATTTGAAAGCTAGTGCTTCCCATGTGGTCACGTATTAATTTCATTGGTATTGAATCTTGGACTACGGAGATACTTAGGGACCTCCAAAGATCTATTATAAAATGAATCCAGAGCGAGATACTTGAAGTCGGTTTTGTTTTTCGTTAATAATCTAGCGATTAAGCAGCTAAGAAACTTAACTAAGAAAGATAGTCAAAGAAGTTTGAGGGATGCATCATTACAATGTAATGATGAATCTTATTCATCATATCTTGTATTGATGTAAACACCGCACCTAAAGTAAATTAAACTATTTGAAATTAAAGTGACGGTCCGTTCCGTGTCAATGAATGCTGCTTATGTCTATTCGTAAGGTCCTTAAAAATAGTTCCGTTGAACAAGCAATTCAATGTGAAAAATTCACTTTATACTCGTAGTGGTTAAATTTAAGCGCGAATACGAAAACAAAGACAGCCGTGGGAGAACGGTCCAAGGGAAACGCTCGAGGAAATACCAATGTCAGTTTGATTCATCGCTACTGGGACGCCTCGGAAGCGATCGACTCTGGCCGTGAAAAGCGAACGACCTTTGGAGTGACGCCGTCCGTCTTATCTTCTCCGTAAACAGCTTTAGTTCGTTATTCGGCCCCCGTCGGATAATGCCCTGACATTTGCTTGATTACGCTTCGCCCATTTCGAGCGGGAAACGTTTCGTTTTGGTGGAGAACGATATTGCGCACCTGTTAGTGAAACTTTAGATAAACCGCGTAAGATCTATCCAATCGTTTGTTTTTGTGATCACACACTTTATATTTTCTCTTATATACTTCACTATGATGACGTTTGTTGCTATTTGCGTGCAAGTCAGTCAATTCAGTCAAAACCTTGAAGTAATAATTTAAGAGAAGTTTTCGAAAACAACTTTACCGTCGAAATACCACCGAGAATGTTAATGTCTGACATTGAAATGCTTTATGAAAGTGGTTATCGGTGGTAAAATAAACCACGTTCCTCCACTTTGATTGCGAGGATAAGTTTGGTTTTAAATTTTTACGATAGCGTCGCACTAAAAATAGCAGATTCAAGTTGTTAATTTTTAATTACTGCTGGTTATAATTTAATATGGATGAATACGTTTTGCTAATATGATCCAAAAAAAAAAAACTATTTAAAATTAACAAGACACTTAACAAGAACTAATCCGAAGTTAATCTATAACGTTTAACATCAGACTATTTCAGACGGAATCGGTCGAGGGAAAGGCTCATCTAAATGTTTGAACAGAAAGCGAATTGGAGCGAAAGTGGGCCCATCCGTGCCGGTGTATTGGCCCGGCGCGGCTACATTGCTTCGTGCAAACTGCGGAATCCTGCCAGGCGCACGAAGCGATTATTGAATGTAAACACCATTGTTAACCACCGTCGTAAACTTTTAAATTTATTTTTCCTACATTCGTGTACACGGAGTAACTTTAACTGTGGTAGGGCCACGCAGCAGTCTCCGCTGTTGCACGAATGCGCAGATCCGTCCGCGGAATTACCGCGAAAAGATGACCGGCGTGAAGTGAAAGAGTTGCACTTCTGCGTGTCGCCTGTTGAATGAGGTAGCCGGGGCCTTAATCTATTGAAGGGTGGCGATGCATGTGTATTCCTATGGGTTTTGCAAAATGTCCATGGGTGGCGGTTATCACTTATGATGTTAAGTGATCTATGAGCTACCGCCAGCTCGCTTGCCGTTATGTAAGAATAAAAAAATACATTTTCTTACATTAAAAAATGGACTATGATCGAAAATAATGGACTGCCTCCTATCTCTCCTTGGTACTCGGGTGCGGTCAAGTACAGTCGTTAAATTGCGACTCACGCAAATAGTTTCGTATCATCAAAGTGAATTGCAAGAAGGTGCTCATTCTGGTTGCGGACGATTTTTTTATCTCTTTAAATTAATGAATGTATTAAGAAATCAGGTCACTAGGGCGACATTCGGCGCTCATTCAGCCGATAGTGCTTTGACATTGATAACACCTTCAAACAGATGAATAAAAATTGATAATGACTTTGACCTTACGTCACACTATTATGTAGATCATTCACTACTTTTTATCGCTTTAGTTTTTTTTAAAGTCTAACTTCACCTTGAGTCGTGGGAGGTTGTACCTACCTATTAAAAGGTTATGCTTAAGCGGCTTATTCGTCCGCGTTCAAGTATCGTAAATAACTAATTTTAAAACTTGAACTTTTGCAAAGGTTAGTTCGGAAGCGTTGCAAAAATTTAAAACGAAAAATATTCCTTCAGTGTTTTAGAGAAATGGGGAAAAATGAAGATTTTTTTCGTAGTAATAGGAAAGTGTCAAAAGTATCGATTAGAAGTAAAATATATCGATTGGAGCAAGGATTGAACCCAACATTCATAATATGCCTTGACTGTGGTTGGGCCACTCAATATTTTTCGCTGCTGACAATTTCTGGTTGCAATTTCTTAATTACTTCAAGATCGTTTTCCGTAAATGTATAATTTAAGAAACGTCATAGAACTTTTAAATATGAAAGTATCTACTTAACGATTCAATTGGATATATTATCATAAAATATAAATTTCCGTGTGTTCTAATGAACTGAAAATAGACTACGTAATCTAAACAGCGATCTATCCGAACAGTAAAGCCATCCGGTATTCATTTAGCTTCAGACGCCAACTGCTCATCCGTGTCAAAGCCTAAACCTAGAAACAGTTCGTTCCCTCAACGGACAAATGCCATTCCTTGTTTTGCAAATTCAATCTCTACGCCTATAATGTTACGCTCGCATTTCGTTATTCCGGTTTGGATCTTCAGCCCTTATACAAAATAATACAACGGTACAAGGGGGAAATTACAATGTGCGGTAGACGTGGCATTAGATAACAAAATGAGTGACTATCAACAATGGGCGCTCGTAATTATGATATATTCATTCCTTTAGTCTACGACGCCCAGTGGGTTGACGAAGATTTTTTTTATCTTTATTCCAATAATTATGTTTTCAAAGGGCCAATTTAGAATTGAACCGAAATAATTGAACTCGAAATAAAAAAAGAATTCTAGACTTGGAATGGTCTTGGTGTGAACTTCTCTTTCTCTTTAATTTAAGAGCTAGGCTCTTGTCGATGCAGCATCCCTGTAGTTCAATTGTGCAACACCCTCCATCTTTTTCTGTTCAAAGCCTTGCCTTCTTAACCTCCCTATGGGACTTAACACACACACATATATATATATATATATATATATATATATATATATAGTTTATTTGCATATATGTCACAAAATATATAGAGTAACATAAATAAAAAATAACAATTATTTAGACAAAATGGTCAAGGACTCAAATTTGTAGCACGGAAGGTACACCAACTTTGATATTCTGTCCTAGCCAGACATATTTTACATAAAGAACACGCTTTATATTAGGTACTAAAATAACTATTAATATTAATATGACTATAGAATATTAATATGTGAATTTTTGTAGATAAATCAACAAAAACTTTCAGTACTGCGGTATTCCGGGAAACGCGACCCACTCGAAAGGGTCGCTTTTCGCACGACTCGGGTTTGATTCCTGCAACATCGAAAGTTCCATTTATCTACGAAAATTCACATTTTAAGTTTCATTTTGAACACACAGACTAAATTAAAAAAAAAATTCATTGTATAAACGTTATACGCAAGGTTTTTCATTCTGACATTGTGCAGTTAATACTGATGTCGGTTTAATTTCAAGAGTCTCATCGATGAACTTTGTTTCGCCAATTGCTGGGGGCTGAGAGAAATAATTTTTAAGAGTTTATCGCAAGATTCCATTAACAACACCGCTCGTATCTCCATCGCGGCATATCAATTCGAGCCTCACCTTGAGAAGGCCATTGAATTGTGAATAATGAATAATTGTTAGCGGCGCACTCACGTGCAACTACTGACCGCCTTTCGAAGGCTTATGTAAATGTCTCACAAAATTGCCTAGTGATGAGAGGTTGACGGTACAACGTCGCATTCAGGGTGCGGCGACCGTTCCACCCCCGGCTCGTCCGGTATTTACGACGCTAGGTTTACGATACACTTATATTTCTTACTTAGTTTTACGAGATCGTTACTTTACTCTGCGCATATTATTCGTTTCTTCCTGCCGTATAAAATTAAACTTGACCTTTATATACGTGCATTACATTTATCTCAAGTTGTTATATTCCTTACGGATTACGGAATCCCGTCAGAAACTGCTGTCATTTTATTGATATGAATATTGATATGAATATTGAGATAATATCTGGTTGTTATTGTGCCCCTGGACTTACCTTTAATGATATTGTCATCTGCTAGATTACAACTTTAACAAAACGTCTGCTATGAGTTTCTTAGAGACGTCTTCGTTTATTAAAACGAAGATTTCGCTCATGAAAGGTAGAACAAGAACAATAAACACCTAAATACTTGGAAAACTGATTACTGATCTCTTTTGAAGATACCGTAGGTTACAATATTATTCAGCAGGTTAGCAATTTGATGCCTACACTTCTAGTGTGTTATTTGTTCTAAAGCAATTGATTCCTTCGGAATATCTTTATGCAGAAGATGCCGCACAAAGAACAAGTACAGTCTTTTTGAAAAAGAAGATCAAATGGTTTTTTTATTATTCATTTTGACCCATTTTTATCTTCGTTAAGAATGCTGCAAACAATTTTCGTTAAAATTAATCCTTTAATTTAAAGAAAGCTTTTATTGAGTCAAATTATTTCACAGCGTCATTGGAACCTTTTCGAACTTGTTAGGCGATCGCTTCCCTCGTCTTTTCGGCAATCAATGCCTCTACTCGAATCGTCTGTTTCATTATCTCGGATTGTTTGAAATTATGTCGTGAACGAAATTCGATTATTTGAATTTGTTGATTGCATTCTACGTTCGTCGTGAGCGGGGGGAAAAAATTAGAAGATTGGTAGAACATTGTTTAAGGATTTCCTGCATCATATCTGCGGTACAATAACAATTAGAGTTCCCGTGAAGTGGCTTTTTAATAATAAACTTCCGACGCATTTAAAAAAAGATTCCTCAAAAAAAAATGAAGACAATCATGTTTATAAACGATAGATTTCACATTTTCAATCATCACGGCCCCATCAATTCAAAACGCAGAAGTACTTGCCAACACAAGTTCGTTCACGATTTAAATTTTTATATGCCGCGCTCCAAAATAGGACCCGTCCGCGTGACAAACCCTCTAAGTAGTTTTTTATTAAATTTGAAAAAGGCGAAAATTAAAACCGATTTGGCGGGTCATTAATCAACAGTTTGAAACGCTGAAGCCGGGACGCGTCGCTCAGTTGCCGCACAATGGGGGCGCGGTACGAACACAATATAGAACAGTGGCGGTGAGCGAAAACGGCGTCTAGACGTACACCGCCCCCCACCCCTCCCCGTTCCGCGCCCCCCACGACCTCGCCGAGTACTCGAATATCCGACTAAAGTATGTCTCCGTAATTGTATTGTTTCAAGCATTCGTCTTCGCTTAGCGCCCGTTCCACTGAATCTAGGGCTTTGTGACGTGTTGACTCCCTTTGTTATCGAGTGTGTTGTAATTATTATTACTGGATAATGTTTCGAATGTACCAAGTCTGCGCATTATTTACCGCTTCTCTACACAAATCTCTTCACACGAGCTTCTATTCGAATCCTGCATGACATTTTACACGGACGACAATGTTTGCCTCGTAACTGACACATTTGTCAGCTTTACCTTCCGGTTTAAATTAAAATATTGAATTGCCTGCATGAAACATTGGGTTTTTTATATCCTTTTAATTATATATAATTATTATTCAGAAGTAATATAACAATGGATTATAAAAAAAATACGAACAGTTTAAATGTAATTCAGTAATTTCGGAGAATGTTCGAGGCAGTGTTACTGTGTAAGACAATAAGACAATTTTCAAGTGTTACCGTATTAATAAATAATGGACGTTTAGTATTATAAATTACAATAAAACGTATGCAAGTGTTAATTGTTCGAACGTTTTCAAAGGTTGATAAACCCTGCTTTTAATCTATGTTCCTCATACCCGAGATCCGTTGGAGCGCGCGAGGACTTATATCATAACTGACATGCTGCACCGATAGCGCTGGTCATTATGCTAATTGCAGCATGTACAGTGAAGCGAAAAATATTCCTTATTGCGAATAGTTATGGCCTACTGAACGACACGATTTCTTTTTTTTTGAAAAATTATGGTTAAAAAGTATGTAGCTGATGTTTAGTGGTTATCGAATTGGTTGGCCGACATTTTTACTCAACTCAGTCAACAGAAGTAATGAATGGTAATTGATAATTCTACTTACGCCAATCTTCTGTGTGACTGCGGTTCTTCATACCGGACGAGCCGGCCAAATATTAAAAAAAAAATTATAATTTAACAAAACTAACTATAATTAATATAACTAAGCCAAAAGTTGGTTAGTTGTATTAAAAATTTTTTTTCTACGTTAATTTTTTCCTTCAAGTAAAGTTGCTTTTCAATTTGTTATTTCTCTTGTAAAGATTAATAATAAGTGCTTCTTCCCTTTCACTTTACTGTTCGGTCATGTTAATAAGGTAACCAATATAGAAATGGAACGGATTTTATGTTATTAGTTATTAATTATAGTTAATTTGATTTAAATTATTGTCTTAGGATTTTACAGCATAGGTTGACTGGTAGAGAATGCCTCAAGGCATTAGGTCCTCGTTTTATGTCCTTCGATTTCGAAGGTAATGGGAATGCAATAAATATTAAATAAATAAAAAAATAAACAGGACCAGCTGCTCCGCCTGAATCCGTTCATTTATTCGTATCTTGCCGAACGGGGTAGGAATAAGACGTTATATACGTGATTGATTTTCCCTTAGCAGTACTACTAATACATGTATTAGTAGTACAAAAAAAAAATGTAAAAAAAATAAATGTATGTGAGTTTTCTTATTCGTTAGTCTCCGTTTACGCATCCCCCTATTCGACGGCGTTACGCGGTTTCATTGCGTACGTGGCCGCCGAGGGCGTTGAACCGTCTCAAATTGAGCTAGAGATTGTGTAACATCTATTACGTATTTTTCAATACGCGACCCGTGTGAAACTATAATTGGTAAAGTTCAAGACGTAACGATATGGCCGGAGGCTGTGATATGGATCAGCTTTTCACCGAAACACATTTGAACCGATGAGCGGGATTTGATAACGGCCTACTCGCTTCCTACTCATCTTCTAGGTAGTTTATGTCAAACATATTATATACAAAATACGAGGTAGATATGACACTAGCGCATCGAAATAATTATTTTAATTTATTTTCTGTTCGTTCTGATTCTATCTATGGCAAGAGTACGTCAAATGCAACTCCATAGAGTACTACCTCTCATATCTCATGTCCTATATCATCTGTTACATCTTCTTTATATATATAATTCTTCTATACGTGTATATGTCACTGGACTCCTCTTAAACGGCTGGACTTTAATGATTTTTTTGTGTGTCATCAGGTCGATTCGGGAATTCACAATTCGTTTTTTTTTTTAATTTACAAGTTGTTGTCTGAATTAAGTCTCGTGTACAGGACAACGTCTATTGGGTCCGCTAGTTCACTTATATATGTCATATAATTATATTTTGCTATCTGTATGTCATATAATAATGTAGAGCGGAAAAATTTTTAAACGCCGCGCAGTATGGACATGCGTCATCTTTATTAAAATATCATTGGTTTAGTTCGCAAAAGGACCAACGTGGATCGTGTTTAACTTGTGTTTGTCAATTATTTGTCTCGTTCGTCATCTTTTTTCGCGATGATCACTTGGCTTTATGCGAATTGTACAAATTGTAAATGCAAATATTTCCGGATTGTTTCCTCTTTGACTTGTTTTTAAATAACCGACATTTTGAAAGTGTCACAGCTGTCGTGGTCACTGATACTGATGCTGGATAGGCTGTTTTTAATGTTTATAAGCCAGTTTCGACAATTCCAATTAAGATCAAACCTTTCAATTATTAATGTATTTTTGGGTTTAGAACATGTGGAAATATAGTCGTACCTTATAACAATGGACGTGGGAAATTATATTCAGGGACCGTTCAAAAGAAAACGAGTAGCGTACGGAGCCTTCCCCACGTTGAACTAGTTTATGAAAGTTCATAAAACAAACGCTCTCGCGAATACCAAAGGGGCGTCCACAATCCCACTCGTGTAACAATAGGAAGAACGGGGATGAGACGTCTTTTCATCCACACGATGACCCTACGCACGCTAACTGGCTTGTTTTAGTCCGCCACTACGGTTGAACCTTTCCGCTGCTTGTGTCATTGTGTTGGAGTGCTCTACACTGTTGTCTAATTGTGGGTAGAAAAAAAAACAGAATGATAATTATATCACTGCGGTGCGCGTTTTCCCGCCATAACAATGTTGTTCGCCAAGAGTTCTTGCCTACGCACTTTTTAAATAAAAATTGAATTAGAAATAGAATTATATTTTGATTCAATAATTATGAATGATTTAAATTAGACAAAAAATATTATTACCACGCGACCCCACCGTGGATTGGTAGATAGATACTTTACATATATTTTAATTATATAATATTTCGATTAATGCGAAGGCTTGCACGGCTGTCTTGGCTGGAAAATATTCTTTATTACCGGTTGTATTTCGATAGATTGATTGTTAATGCCTTTTATAAAACAGACCTTTAAGAATCGAATTCGTGCTCCTCGAACGTTCGTAAACAATAGCTTTCTGTATATTTTTCCTAAAGTGGGGAATGCCGAAGTAACTTAATTTTGACAATACAGCACTGGGTTTTGTAAATCCGTACAACTATTTCATATGTATCCTCCGAAAGCGGTGCACATTGCGAATCGACTTTAAGCGTCCTTCCAACCTTAACACCGCGCGAGGTACCGTTGAACCCCATGTTTCGCGCGACGGGCAGACGGCGTCTGTGAACCCTGGCGGGATGTCGGTCACCTGGCAACCCTGGCGAGTGCGAGGCGCCCCGCTGTCATCGGGGCATTGACGCGGGGCGGGGCGCTTACCGAGCGCACGGGATACATCGCCCGCCGCTCCAAACCGGTGACGTCACGCGGCAGTGGGTACACACCGTACGCGCGAACTGCTCCAATTAGTCATTATCGTCATTCAAAGAAAGAAAGATACGTTTATTTGTTAGAAAATGGTACTATATAGGTCTTAAAAGATGTATCGTCCCTTATGTTATACCATTTCTACAAATATCACATTTTACATTAAACATGCAAAGAAAACAAAACAAAAGAAAATGTAATTTAGGAAACTATTTTTTATAATTTTTTTTTAAATGATAACATTTAAAAAAATTAGAAATGAATAATCGGAGAGCTAACGGTTGAGCGGTTTAGTTAGCTAGTAGCTCAATTCGGTTCTGTGACCGTAGTGTTGTTGTGTTTTAGATTTCAGAGGAAAAAAAACTGTTGAGAATATGATTTTGTACCTTGTAACATTGCTATTGTTTTAGTTGCTCTGTGTAATTGGTCAAGATGGTGTAGTTGTGATTTGAAGATGATTAAGTTGATTATTGTAATTAAGTAGTATCATGTGAAACCTAGTATAAAGGGTTAAATGATGTAAGTTAAACAGAATAAACCAATCATGAAAGCAGAGCTGCATATTTATTTTGATCCACGGAAACACATTTTCTAACATGGTATCGAGGCGTGGTTACTCGTATTTTGGATGTTGAAAACGAGATATAATTATTGTGAAAACTGATTTGAAGAATGGCAGATAAAAAGGATGAATTTATTTTGCAAGTTTTTGATGGATCCGGCTACGACAAATGGAAATTTCGAATGAAATTGTTTTTGGAAATGAAAAATTGTTATGAGGTTATATTGTATGACAGCAAACCTGAAAATATTAGTCAAATTGATTGGCTAAAAATGGAAATAAAAGCAAAAAAACTACATCGTGAACAGTGTAAGTAACTCGCAACTTGAATTAATAATTTCGGAAGAATCTGCGAAAAATATGATTAAAAAGTTTGATGAAACGTATTTGGCAATGAGCAGTGCAAATAGATTATTATGTAAACGTAAGCTGTTAGAATTGAAAATGAAAGAAAATGATAATCCCGTTGATTTTTTTAATACTTTCGAAAAATATATAAATGAATTAAAATATGCAGGAGAGGAAGTTAAACAAGAAGATAAACTGAATTACTTGTTACTTTGTTTACCAGAATGTTTCTCACATATAGTGGATATTGTGGATGCTTTGCCAGAGAAGGATCAATCGGTGGAATATGTAAAGTCAAAGCTATTGTTGGAATATAAAAAGAAGGAATCTACAAATTATAGTCAACAGTCGTTCAGTTCTCAAACTGAACAGAATGGTACAGTACAAAATAATAAATTAAGGCAAGATAGAAGAGGTATTGTTTGCCATAAATGTCACCAGCCAGGCCACATTCAAAAATTTTGTCCAACTTTAAAATATAATTTCAGTAATAATAATACAAATAATTACAATAACTACCGTAGAGGATATGGAAGAGGAAGATTTCGAAGGAACAATTTTAGAAGAATAGCAGGCACTTCATCAGCGAATAATACAAGTCAAAGTAATTTTAATGTAAGGGTAATGTCATCTGAGGTAAATTCAATAAGCGAATGTCAAGCTAACAGTCCAATAGTGTCATGGTTATTAGATAGTGGCTGTTCAGACCACATTATAAATGATGAACAATATTATTGTCAAAGTAAAAATTTAGAGCAATCTGTAGACATTAAGGTAGGTGATGGTTTTTCTTTAAAAGCAAGTAAAATAGGAAATATCTGTATGTTATTTAATGTCAATGGTAAATGGCATAGAACTATGATTAATAATGTTTATTATGTACCAAGTATGAAACAAAACTTGCTTAGTGTATCATGCATCACTTCTCATAATAATATGATAGTTTTTAACAATGATAGTGCTGAAATTTATGATAATAGAAATAAGTTAATTGCTGTAGCATTAAAGAAAGATAAATTGTTTGAATTGTCAGGAAAAGTAAATTTAAATAAATATGTTTCTGAATCATACACAAGTACTAGTAATATGACAAATAAAGAGTTGTGGCATAGAATTCTCGGTCATACCAACTTTAATAGTTTAAAAGAATTAAGTAAGCTTCAGTTGTTAGATGGTTTTCCTACTAATATTGAAAATGATTATATAACATGTGAAATATGTTTGGAAAATAAGATGTGTAATTTACCATTTGAAAATAACAGATATCGAGCAAAAGATTTGTTGGAAATCATACATTCGGATGTCCATGGTCCAGTGAACCCAACTGGTTATAAAGGTGAGAGATACTTTGTCACTTTTATTGATGATTTCAGTAGAATTGCAATAGTATATTGTATTAAAAACAAAAGTGAAGTTTATGATTGTTTTTTAAAGTATATAAAATTAGTACAGAATCAAACTGGAAAGCGAATAAAGGAAATAAGATGTGATAATGGACGTGAATATATTAATAATGATTTTTACAGACTAGCTAAAGATGAAGGAATTTATTTAAAACCAGCCCCTCCATATACACATGAATTAAATGGTGTTGCTGAGAGGTATAATAGAACAATATTAAATCGTGCTAGGTGTTTACTTGCTGAGGCAAAAATAGATAAGAAATATTGGCCTGAGTGCATACTTACATCTGCTTATTTAGGAAATAGACTTTTAACTAATACAATAAGTAAGAAAACTCCATATGAAATATTTTTTGGAAGGAAACCTAATGTGTCAAATTTAAAAATTTATGGTAGCGTTGCATATGTTAGAATTCCTGAAGAACGAAGAAGTTCAAAGTTGAATCCAAAGGCTGAAAAAGAAAAGGATAAAAAATGTATAAAGATGATTAATGAAGATGAAGAAGAGGAAACTGAGGTCTTAAATGAACAAAATAGAGAACAACTACAAATTAATCAAGAAAAGGAAAGTAGTGAGAATGAAAAAGTTAAGGAGGTGAGTGAAAGAAGATATCCTCAAAGAAATAGAAGGATGCCAACCAAATATGATGATTATGTTGTATATGTAAATTTTTCAAATGCATTTGTGCCGGAGAGCTATCAAGAAGCTATGAATAGCTTAGAATCAAAAAATGGAAAAAGGCAATGAATGATGAGATTAATAGTTTGATTGAAAATAAAACATGGGATATTGTTGATGAACCTAAGGATAAAAAGATTATAGAAGTAAAGTGGATTTATAGAATCAAGTCAAATGGGAATTATAAAGCAAGAGTAGTTGCTAAAGGTTTTCAACAAATTTATGATCAAAATGAAGAAATTTATTCACCGGTGGCCAGAATGACAACTGTAAAAGTTTTATTATCTGCAGCATGTATTAAAGGATGGCAAATTGAACAGATGGACGTAGAGACTGCATTTTTACATGGTAAGATTAAATCTGAAGTTTATATATATCCACCCGATGGTTATGAAGTTGAACCAAATAAAGTTTGTTTATTGCGTAAATCTCTATATGGATTAAGAGAGAGTCCTCGTGATTGGTATGAATGTTTCCATGAATTTATGATGAGTATGAACTTTAAAAGATCTGATTATGACTATTGTTTATATATTGGGAGTGAAAATAATACATACATAATGTTATATGTAGATGATATATTGATACTGGGTCGAAATATTTCTGATATTGAAAATATAAAACAAATGTTAAATAGACGTTTCCATATGAAAGACTTAGGAAGATTGAAGCATTACTTGGGAATAGATATTGAATATAATCCTGAAGAAAATAAGTTGTATTTAAATCAGGAGAATTATATTAAGAGTTTAGCTGAAAAATATAAAGTAACAGATTGCAAAAAATATGAGACACCAATGGAAATTAATCTTAAATTAGAATATGCTGAAATAAGTAATGAAAACTTAAAATATAGAAATTTAATAGGAGCTTTGTTGTATATTGCAAATGGTACTCGACCAGATATATCTTTTGCAACCAATTATTTAAGTCGCTTTCAGAGAGCTTATAATGAGACTCACTATAAGTATGCTTTGCGTGTGTTAAAATATTTGTGTTATACTCGGTCGTTAAAGCTGCACTATAATTCTAGGTATAATGATGTTATGGATATTTATGTAGATGCTGATTGGGCAGCTGATGTTTCAGATAGAAAGTCAACTACTGGATTTTTAATAAGAATATTTGGGAATGTTGTGTTATGGAAGTCCCAAAAACAGAAAATTGTTACTAGAGCTTCTACACATGCAGAATACTATGCTCTTGCTGATTGTGCTGAAGAAAAATACTGCCAATTAAAGGAGTCTTAAAAGACATAGGTATTATTGTCAATAAGCCTGTTAATATTTATGAGGATAATACTGGTGCTATTTCATTGGCAAAAAGTGGTAAATTTTGTAAAAATTCTAAGCATATTGATATAAGCTATCATTTTGTATATGATTTTGAAAAGAAGGGTTTAATAAATGTACAAAAGATTTCAACTGATGATCAAATAGCAGACATTTTAACAAAGTCTTTAAGTAAAATTAAATTTCAAAAGTTTAGATATTTGCTAGGTGTTTATGAGTGATTGTGTTTAAAGTAAAATATTGTCAAAGGTTAAGTTTTAAGGTTGTTTATTGTTTTATTGTTAAAGTTTAATTTAGAGGCACAAAATCAAGGAGGTGTGTTGAGAATATGATTTTGTACCTTGTAACATTGCTATTGTTTTAGTTGCTCTGTGTAATTGGTCAAGATGGTGTAGTTGTGATTTGAAGATGATTAAGTTGATTATTGTAATTAAGTAGTATCATGTGAAACCTAGTATAAAGGGTTAAATGATGTAAGTTAAACAGAATAAACCAATCATGAAAGCAGAGCTGCATATTTATTTTGATCCACGGAAACACATTTTCTAACAAAAACAAGACGACTTAAACGCTCTATCAAATAAATCTAAGTCTGATTCATATTTGATATCTATCTATCTATATATTGCTCTTAAAATACTTTTCCTGCTTGCGGTTGCGTTGTTTACATTGCGCATTTCAAATAGACGATGCAGTCAGTGGGTTTGTTTACGCAATCTACAACGCGCCCCTCTATTAGTTAATGGGTGTTCCGAATGCACCGCTGAAAATTAACGCGTGCGTTAACCTATCCTTAGGGTGAGAAACTTTAAAAACCTAGGGTGTAACGTCCACAAGGCTGAGTCGAACTTTTGCAAATGGCTTACAAATATGTGTCAATATGATTGTGCCAAAAACTGTAACAAAGGTTGTCTGTGAATATGATTATTTTAAAAATTGTAACAAACGGTGTTGATGTCAATAATGTCTTATATTATGTTGGTAAAAATTAATTGTTATGTAAAAGTAGAGTTCGTTTTTTTACCTGATTACCTGCGAATAGTCTAAGATTTCTCTCAATTTCAACCTCGAATTGTAGAGTAACAAGTTGCTGACAATGAAAGGCTTTCATTATGTAACAGAAGACCTATATAAAGTAAGAGAATAAATATTTTCGCATTAAGAGAATATATATACAACACACGTATCGGTAGAAATCCGTCTTTTTTAGGGTTCCGTACCCTATTGCTAAGACTTCCTCTGTCTCTCAGTCTGTCACTAGTCTAATGAACCATGATAGATAGAAAGTTTAAATGTTCGTAGATGATGTAATTCTTTTGTCGCTATAACACCAAATACTAACAAACAGAATAAAACAAAATCTTTAAGTGGGGCTCGGATACAACGAACATGATTTTTTTGCCATGTTTATAGATCGAGACCCTTTGCGCGAGTCCTAATCGCACTTTGCCGGCTTTATTCTATTTCTATTCGCAAATAGAACATTACACTTGAAAAATTTATATTAGAAATAAGTGTAGAAATGATATAGATAAAGTAATATTCCACTTTGAGCAACACTTCATGTAGGTTATCATATCGATAACAAGAAATGTGTTATTTTATTCGAATTGCAGGCAAACGAGTGCATTTTGTGGACAAGAGCGCACAAGTAAACACAGGAGACCTTGTATTATTCTCTCTTATAACCGTTATGCTTTACGAAATTCTGGGTTAGTCACACCGCGATCGAAAATAGACTGTGATTGGGCAAGCTTCTTCGATCGTATGACGAGCGCATAGCCCGTTTTACTCTACACGCCCGACGCGACGCCTCCGAGGGTTTTATTTGTTTTGGTTTTTTTCTAATTATTTTTAAACGCCAGTAATCGTTGCGGTCTAGCGCGTCAAGTCTAGAGCGTTTTATTTTATGACAAAAGACAAAGGTTACATTATATGTGCAATTACAGTGAAAAACAATATTTATCGAGGATAAAACTGGTGTTGCTTGGTATTTGCTATCCAATTATTATGAGAGAACATTGTGAGAAATGTGTGTTAAAAATTATGTTTCGAAGTTATATGGAGTGCGCAATTGCGCGTTTCACTCGCATGGGCTATGTCCTTATTTTTACCTGCTTTTTATAGAAGAACTATTATTTAATACCTTTATTTGTTATTTCCAATGTCACTGCACCTGTATTATGTTACCAGAGCACGTGAAACAGTCTCGAGCGTTTACGAATGTAGTAATATGCTGAAAATTTTATATGTTTAAAAATTTTAATTAATTCGCTCCTAAGATACCACCAACCTGAATATATTTTGGTAAAAAATCCAAGGCAAATTATGTAATGTGTAATTATATGGGTAAACTGAACATACCGGTAACATAACATTGTCGATTTCAAGTTCTTTCGTAAACTTGAGTAAATCTTACGACGTCGTCGTCACCAAGGCTGTGTTTTGAATAAATTTCATAACTGACGAACAAGCGAGTTCTTCTACGCTTTCTTTGTTTCCTCGAGCACTTTATAGCTTAAGAACATAGTTCGTTAGTCATCGGTCACGGCAGCGCCGCCGTCGGTACAGTCGCGATGAATCACCGCCCACGGCGACATTGGGGCCCGGTTTATTTGGGACGAGTCGAGAACTCGGCGTGGCCGGCGCACCGACTACCCGCCCCGGCCTTGCTTCTCTCCGCGTGTGTACACACGAACAGCTGTTTACCAACACGCCGCCGCCCGCGCCGATGTGGGTCGCGGCTGCACCGCGCGATTTGCGCGCGACTGTACCAGGCGTTTCGATTACGCGGCTTGGGTGATAGAAGTGTTGGTGTGCGCGCTCTTAGCTATTCATCGTCGGTCATCTTCGTTCAAGTTGGACAAGGGAGGACTACAATAGATCTTCTAGTTCGCAGCGGTCCTCGGAACTTACTACCCAACCCCTTTCATACAAGTCATGATATGATGACGTGCTCGGTGGTGAAAATACAACGTGAGGAAACCATATTTTCGGAATAATAACAAAAAAATAATTTTCGTCTGCCAATCTGCAGTGGGGTCGCGTGGTGGACTATGCCTAGTACCTTCTGTACAGAAGAGACATTTATACTTTATACTTTACTTAACTTTGATCTGGGAGTAAGGATAGTTTTCGTGTTGATGTATTAATAACGAGAGTATGCGTTATTATGTGTGTGTGAGTGTGATATGTTTCGTGCTGTAATGGTAAGAACATATGTGAATTTATATCGCAATGAAGTCGGTCTTTAATTTAGATTAATAACAAAATGCATTATTTATTTGGTTTAAAACATTTACCTGATAACGAACAATGAGAACGAAACAACCGGTGAAAGCTGACGGCTGAAGATAAATAAAAAATTGCAGATTATCATAAATAAAGAATACACCTAGAAATTGTACCTAAAATTGCTAATAGTACTTGTTACAAAAAAAAAAACAAAATGTATCACACAAAATCGAGAGTAAAGGTTACAATAAATTAATTGAAAGTCCACGTTACATTGCCTAAAGTTATAGTACGATATTATTCATGGGTGTCAAATAGCGGGGTCTTCTGACTCACGTACGGCGAGGCCATCTTGAAATTGCAAAAAAACACGTGTTTAAATAAATGACTAACAAAGTCATTTATTGAAACACGTTCAGTATATATGTAACATCTATGAACAAAGTGCTGATTGTGTTCGCGTCGCGGTGGATTGGTCAGTGCCAAAATATTACGTATTGTAGCAGTTGTGACGTAATACGGCCACAATTCATTTGGTCGGAATGTCATAATTATTTATTACCTAATTTATTGGAATATCAACCTTTTACTTATTATATATCTGCAGCACCTGTGTAGTATTTGTACGTCGAAGACGTTATTTTAATAAACTATAAGGTAACGTTATACACATTTAATGCTCGGAAACAGACTGCCGCGCCCGGCAGTACATACATTACATTTTGTATTTTTGTCTACCCACAATATACGCTACATCCCTCCACCATAATTACAAACTATATAAAAACGGATAGTATAAAACAGATACAAACAGCTTAATAAAACAGATTAAAAAAAGAGCACAACAAGTATGCAAACAATTTAACAATAATAGAATGTTATCAAAATTTATACTTAGGATTGTTATTTCTAGTCGATCTTATAGGATAACGGTGTTCATTTTCGCTCGTTAACAAAATATCATTTTCCGGAATACAATCAACAAATTCATCCTCACATTCCCCCTCTGACGCCAAATTTGGGTTTGACCCTGATGATGTTCTACAAGGTACATTTTCCCCCGTATCAGGATTGAAATCGTAATAATCGCCAAATTCATTATCCATATTGCTACTTGTATCAGAAATATTATTATTAATTGTTACATTTCCCTTATATTTTAATAATTGGTCAATATGTTTCTTTAAAGTTAAATTTAATTCGGGTATATAAACGTTATACATCATTGAACCTATTTTTCTTTTTACAATGCCTCGTTTCCAATTATGTTTACAACCATTATTATAAAAATACTTAACTAGTACACTATCACCTGAATAAAAATCTGTTTTACGATGCCCACCGTGTTGTTTACTCTGTGAAATCTGTTTAGAACAAACATTGTTATTAGCATCATTGGACAACGAAACTGAAAGCGGATTTGTCGCGGTCATTAAATCAAAACGACATCGTAAGGGTCGTCCTAGCAACAGTTGCGCTGGCGAAAAACCGGTTGTGCAGTGTACATAATTGCGGCAGTTAAATAAAAATGCATTAATTTTATTTATTATTTTAGCTATTTCATCACTATTTCCGAGAACACTTTTTAGACCTCTTTTAATGGTTTTCACACTGTTCTCCGCTTGACCGTTTGATGCTGGGTGATAAGGTGCGATAGTAATGTGTTTAATACCGTTAGATAAGCAAAACATTTCAAACTCCTTTGAACAAAAATTAGGTGCATTATCGGAAACTAATACTAACATAAGACCAAATCGACTCATCATGTCATATAATTTATTAAGAATAGCCTTTGTATCAGTTGTTGACAGGTAGTAACATTCAATTTCGAATGCGCGTCGACTGCGATTAAATATTGCTTACCGTACAATGTAAACAAGTCTAAGTGGACTCTCTGCCACGGTCCGTTCGGGTATGGCCACGGAGCGAGCGGAGAACGAGGCGAAGCGGCTCGCATGTTATTACATACACAACACGACGCATTTTTTTCTTCGATGTGTTTGTCTATATTAGGCCACCACATACGTGATCTCGCTTCGGTTTTTGTTTTTACTATGCCAAAATGGGGCCTATGTAATTCTTCTAATAATTGTTCACGAAAAACGGCGGGTGCCGTTTCGTGCTGAATGTCTTTTAGCGTAATAGGTTTAAAAATTGAATCGTACATAAAATTGATGAATAGTGACTGCTCTGAATCAAACTGTTCTTCATTCTCTGGGGCGCTTCTTGTCGACCGTGAAAGGAAATCCGCAACATTATTTTCGCTACTTATATATTCAATTTTGAAATTATATGCCGATAAAAATAATGCATAACGCTGTAAACGATTAGCAGCTAAATCGGGTACTCCTTTTTTGTTTCCAAATATCGATAGAAGCGGTTTATGATCCGTCCTTAATAAAAATGGTGTAGCACGACCATATAAATAATGGTGAAATTTTTTTATAGCGAAAACAATAGTAGTTGCCTCCTTTTGTATCTGCGCATAGTTTCATTCAGGCTTGGAGAGCGATCTCGAGGCATAAGCCACTACCCTCTCGGAGCCGTCCGCGTGCCGCTGAGCCAGCACGGCGCCGAGGCCTTCGGGGCCTGCGTCTGCTGTCACTACCGTCATTAGATTAGGATCGTAATGAGCCAGTACCCGGTCCGACGACAACTCTTTTTTAATTTCAATAAATGCCTTATCATGAATTTTAGTCCATTGCCACTTCACACCCTTTTTTAATAACATGTGCAACGGACTTAGAATGCTAGATGTGTTCGGTATAAAACACCTATAGTAGTTAATCATACCTAAAAAAGATTTCAGTTCAGATATATTTTTGGGACATTTCGAATTCATAATCGCTTCAATTTTTTTATTCGATTTTCGTAAGCCATTTTTATCAATTATAAATCCTAAATACTCAACAGAATCCTTAAACAATTCACATTTCTCTTGTTTCAATCTTAATCCTGCGTCTTGTAACTTAAATAAAACTTGTTCTAATCGCTGTAAATGAATTTCATCTGTGGGGCCGGTAATTAAAATATCGTCGAGAAATATGCATGTACCTTCTATACCATTAAGCAATTGCTCCATTGTTTTTTGAAATATTAATTAGCGCTACGCATAAACCGAAAACGAGTCGATTATATTGAAACAAACCTTTATGTGTATTAATGCATGTAAGTTTTCTAGTTTCGTCTAATTCTAGCTGATTATACGCGCGCGACAAATCTAGATTGGAGAAACGTATTCCCCCATGTAATTTAGCAAAAAGATCCTCAATTTTTGGCAGTGGATAATTATCCATATATAATACCTTATTTAACGTAACAGAATAATCCCCACATATTCGAATATTTCCATCGGGACGTAAAACTGGTACAATAGGTGTGGCAATATCCGAATATTCGACTTTTTCTAAAATGCCTAATTGGATTAACCGCTGTAACTCTTCTTCTACTTTTGACTTTAGGGCTAACGGAACTGGACGCGGTTTAAAAAAATTTAATTCTACGTCAGACTTTAATTTTAAATTAATTTTATATTTATTAAACTTTCCTAATTCGTCTGTAAATAATTTTTTATACTTTTCTTTTAAAATTTGAACATATTTCTCGCTTTTTATATTATGACAATTTGCAATGCATAGCTCTAAATTAAATTCACTGATAAAATCTCTCCCTAACAAGGCTGGTTGATTAAGATTCGTCGTAATGATAAAAAAATTAATTGATTTTACCATGTTTTCATGTGAGAAGGGTAATAACAAATACCCCAAAGGTATTATTTTAGTCCCGTTATAACAGTTTAAAATAATGTTACAATTATGTAAATGCATTTCTCTAAAAAATTCTTTATAAATTTTTTCGGGTAAAAATTGACACTGCACTGCCACTATCTATTTCGCACAAAATATTAATGCCAGAGATTGAAATTAACTGTTGCATAGGACTACCGTTGGTACACCTAATGCTAAATAAGTCATACGCACCTTTTACCAGATCGTCATCCGCCGATGTTATGTAATGGTTTCTCTTTACCTGAGCTACATCCTCGTCGCCAAATGTAGTATTTGTACGTCGAAGACGTTATTTAAATAAAACTATAAGGTAACGTTATACACATTTAATGCTCGGAAACAGACTGCCGCGCCCGGCAGTACATACATTACATTTTGTATTTTTGTCTACCCACAATATACGCTACAACCTGAGATCTTGTATTGACTACCAAGTTTAAATTCCAATTCAAATTTCTTTATTCAACTTAGAAACGTTACACTTATTTATAAATTGCCAAAACTCTACTAAGTATACTAACAAAAAATTAAGTGGTGCTCCCATACAACAAACATGATTTTTTGCCGTGTTTATAGACGATCCGACTCACACTTGGCCGGTGTTTTACCAGTATTTCACAAAGAAAAAACTTGTCAGGATCACTAATCCATACTAATATTATAAAAGCGAAAGTAACTCTTGTCTGTCTTTCTTGATTTCACGACAAAACTACTGAACCGATTTAAATGAAATTTGGTATATATCTAGAGCCTGAGAAAGGACAAAAGCTATTTTTTAATTTGAAAAGTGTTGTAAAGGGTTGAAAGGTTAAAGAACTATATTTAAGGGCTTCAACGCGTGCGAAACCACGGGCAAAAAGCTAGTAATATTATATAATAGCCTTTAACACACAGAAGCGTCACGCTGCAATTACTCTCTCACTCACAAGAAGAAACCCGAAATTTTGGGATAAGTCTCCACTCTCATCATCAAAACATTACCTCCAAGTCCTCGTTCACAAAGTTCACACAGATTTTCTTCTGTTTATTCCAATCCTTGCAGAGTGTGTGTAGACATGTGTATGGATTTTATGTATGTATGTGTATGGATTTTGGAGTAAGCAAAAACTATTGTATGAATGGTGAAGAGTGAAAATCTGTAATATCTGCCGAAACCTTCTTCAATTGTTACTGACACGGTTTTTGCTGACGTCCCATACGAAAACGTTGTGTATGTAAATAAAATAATAGAGGTCTGCCGTTGTGCTCGCATTACGGAGAAACTACTGATTAGACTTCGATTAATTCTTCTTAGTTTTATTTTTTAGACACTTGGTTCTTATCTTAAAAGCATTCTGATATCTACGTTAAATGCAAAGTTATTAAATTTATGGGAAACATTACACGCACGCCGTGTTCATTTATGTAACTTTTTGCTGTGGATCAATGGGGCAAGCGGTGTAGTTGCTAATATAGTAAACAATGCAAGTGAAGTCACTGGTATCAGATAGTACATAATGATAACAGCCTACAGTACAGGCAAAGTCCTTTAAGAAAATTTGTAAATTACACCTTTTCGGTTATGAAGTTGCACTGGTTCAGATGTTATTCAATTTGGACGCATTACTTCTGCAACATAATATTCGAGATCGCCACGTGGCACTGTCATGGCCGATCAGTTATATTCCAATACGTATGTGTGTACGTAGTCAGATGTTCTATTTCTGAGGCGACGAGTAAAATGTTGCCGGGTGGCATGTATGTAGTGCGGTTTTCGCTGTCCCATTTCGCGCAGATCTTTTCGAGTCGAACGTTCCAGATAAAATATTTTAACACAGTGTTGTATTATGACGGTTCGTTTGGCGCAGTTTTGCTGTGGACTTCAGCGCTCCGGGTCCTAGATTCGATCCCCATACCCGACAAGATTTAGTGTGACCTTATTATCGTTATTCAGGATTGGTGATTGTCCGTGTAAAATATTTTTATATATAAATCTTCTGTGCGTGTCTATGTCACTGAACTCCATCTAAACGGCTGGTTTTAATGAAATTTTTTGTGTGTCTTCAGGACAATTCCAGAATGCTTTATTTAGATTCACAATTCGGTCCACTACATTTATTTTCCTTTTTTTTATTTATAAATTTTTGTCAGTTTTAAGTTATGTGTACAGAATAACGTCTGTCGGGTCCGCTCATTTACGTATATTATACTTCCGTATAAGACTAGACAATCTTAAAAAAAAAACGAATAATGAAATGTATGTATGTGTATACATATAACTTGAATTATGTAGGGGCTGCAGTAACCTAATGTTTGTGATAACGACGCGTTAGTTTTGTTTTCCTTAAGCTAAAAGAAAAAATTCACATCTTAAAATTGTGAAAGGTTAACTTTCACAGATTTAAGGTCGGAGAAAAATATAGGTAGTTCGCTTTTCTTTCTGGTCAAGGCACCTAACCAGATTTATCCCTGATTCATCAGGGTGTCTCTCTGGTCTCCTGATCAGATGACACACTGCGTTTCAAACATAACACAAAAAATTGATTACTTGTTTTTCTAATTGTACATTTTTAGGTTAAAGTTTTTATTATTTGAATTGGGTGACCAAAACAATGACATTATTTAGTTTTCTTCATTTGCGTACAAATATTTTTGTGTGTGAAAAGAAAAATATTTTTTTGTTTTTCCGTATTCAGATTTTTATCTAAATGTTGAAAAGTTATCACAATTGATCGTATAGGCTAGATAAAACATGAGTCAATACTGTGGAAAATATAGCTCTTAATTAGGTCAATATACAACAAGATTCCGTGTAAACTGTATAGGCAAACAGCATAATAAAATCGGCCGATGTAACTGCCGATCGACACCACGCGGAAGTCTTTTTTAAATGGACAAATCTATTTAGGCTGTCGATAAAGTGTTTTTCCGAGGCTGTAAAACTACCAATTAGATGTGCAGTAGGCTGTGGATCTGTGATTCCATTAGCCGATGTCAGACTATGGACGGCCGCTCGTCCCGCACGTGTTCGCTTTAATGCGTTTCGGGTGCTGTCGCTACCGCCTGTTTATTGCCAATTAGCCGCTCTAAACGTAAATGAAATTATAAACGGCGTATGACGCTACGCGCGCGATAAAGAAAATATGAAACAGTTTGACGCTGACCGATGTCGCAGACGTTTGAACAAATGACGTATTTATTGTAGGTATATTGTTCGTTATATGCATAATATCTCTGTGCGTAATCCGATATCGTAAACATTTTGCAATGCTTTCGTTTATTTATATGACGTATAAGCATTAATGAGATAAACAAAAATATGTTGTATTTCCTCGTGTGTTGTTTTGAAATAATGCGGCATACGTCTATTTTCTTTCCACCATAAAATCGTGTCGCCCATCTGTACGATACAGGCAGACGTATCACGTCGACTTTTAAGCTAAAAAACAAGTCATTTTGACGTAGGGTTCTCGCATGCAGCAGTTCTCGCTGTTACACGAATGAGCAGGCTAGTCTGGGGAAGTGGCACGGCCTCACAAAAGGCCGGCGTGAAGAGGAACAGTTAAATAACTTTCACGTTTCGTCTGGTGAGTGAGGTACCCGGAGCCCAATATTTCGAGACAGCACCTTTACTAGTTGTTGATGACCATGGGCCCGCTTGCCATCTCCTCATATAAATAAACCCGGCTAAGTGCGAGTCGGACTCGCGCACGAAGGGTTCCGTACCATTATCTATAAAACGGCAAAAAAAAATGTCATTTGTATGAAAGCCCTACTTAAATAATTCTTTATTCTGTTTTTTTAGTATTTGTTGTTATAGTGGAAAGAGAAATACATCATCTGTGAAAATTTCAAGTGTCTAACTATCACGGTTTATGAGATACAGTCTGGTGGCAGACGGACAGACATACAGATAGACAGCGAAGTCCTAGTAATAGGGTCCCGTTTTACCCTTTGGCTACGGAATTCTAAACATAGCTGGACGTAATGTCTCCAAGGCGCGCACCGTGTGCTTTCCACGTGAGTGACCCACAAGGGAAACGCGCGCGTAAGTAAAACGCAATCGTTTGTAGTACGAAGTGTAGTGCGGACGCTACGTCATCCGATAATAGTTCCCGCGCCCGCGTGTGACGTCACGCCGAGTGCACTAGTATGTGGTCACGTAGACTTATCGCTTGGAACGCGAGCGAACGTTTGACGCAAGGGCCGCAGCGAGGTGGGGCCCGTCAGCCGTGGCCGCTAACTAATCTCCCGTATGCCTCTCTATTACCTTAAAGCTATAAAGCAGTATACAAGAAATCGCATAGCATGGCAGTTGTAATGTGTTTGATCTTGTTCGCACAGGAAGTATGATTTCTAGGTACTGTTTTTGCTGTCTCCGATATTAATGAGTCAATATGTTAAACGACTCATGAATGTCTGCTGTTCGATCCCTGTATTAAGCTTTTATCATTGTTATCGTGTGCTACTATTCTAAATGGAATGATTAATTTGTACTGGATTAAGAATATTCTATGTTCTTCGATTTTGATTCATGGTGTATTCTCTGTTACGGATACAAATAAACATTTTCATTTAATAACAAAAAAACAAGATCGATTAATCTGTCACTCACTATACGTTTTCTAGTTTGCCTCAGAGTTGGAACTCCCAGGAGTTCCATCTCCAGTCTAAGGCCCAAAAGGAATAATTAATATAGAACCGCAACGGAAGCTTAACCGAATTAATTCGAAAATATTTTTTACGATCGCTTCATAAATGACGAAGTTTTGAAGTAACAAACATAAAAAATAAATACAACTGTAGGTATTGAGAACGTCCCTTTATGAAACTCAGTTGAAAAAGAATATAGTTTCCACGAGCTTTACTCTACTCCATCTCTCACTTCAGAATTTTATTCAAACTATTTCAGACGTTATAGCAAAATGCGATAACAAACACAAACATAATTATAATCGTAGGACAATATAATAGTAACGACGCTGTTCCACAGCGAATATTATTTGATGCTGTCTGGACATAAATGATGTTGAGGCATCTTTAACATATTACAATTCTTAGCCGTTTAAAAAATAATATTGAACCCGATAGAGATACGTACATACGCTCATAAAATATTAAGAGTAAAGTATCTACTTCCCCCAACGATGCTTTCGTTGGGGATTAAAAAGTATCCCTCTCAGTGGTTAACTTGGTGGCTCTCAGCGAATTTGTTAGGTGGATTTAAATAGAGTATAATTTTCTCCATAATAAATTATATTTACTACGATTATGGTACTCGTAACAGTAGTGCTACCATCCGCCCCGTTAAAAGCAATCGACGAAAAATCCGTTTAAGTCTCAATCTCTTATTGTAATATCCCGTATAACAGGTCGTTTAATGCGTGTTCCGTTTCCAGGTCACCGGCAACAGGGACCGTGTCAGCCAGCAGATCCAGATAAAGCTCGGAGACTACCATCTTGCTCAGACGCTGCTCGACGATCCGAGCAAGTCCATAGGCATCTGCGCCGAGCCGCCGAGTCCCGCGCCATGTGAGTATTGACGCTTGATCTCTCTTAATGTCTACGCGATTTCCATTTTATTTTTGGTCTCGCAACAGATCTCACATGTGAGTATTTACGCCGATCTCTCTTAACGTCTACGCGATTTCCACTTTGTCTTTGGTCTTGCAACAGATGTCACGGCTGAGCACACTCCTACACGATATATCCGATTTCGAACGCTGTTTAAATATGTTTTGACGTTTATTTGTTATGGATAGGAACTTTTGATACGCGTAGCCAAAAGTTTAGCTACAAGATAAGTCTTTATATAACTTTAGATTTATGTTGATCTATTTCAAGTATACCCTATATATATTACAAACATATATATATTCAAGTATATCTATATATTTATCAAACTGCCGCAAAGCGAAGTTCGTATTTTTATTTTTGTTCGCCAAAAAAGTGTCTAAGAATACATAAATCCAATTTTTTTTTTCAACATTTACGCCAACGAGACTTGGGTTAGTTCTCGAATGTGTGAAAGCGAAGCAACAACCCCAATAAATTATCCCTTGTAAAGAACACGGTCTATAACACAATAAACCGTTCACGGTTGTCCGTCGACATATATCTTGTGATAAGATAGCCAGATGCTGAAACCTCGCCGATTCCTTGACGTATGCAAATTGATAATGTTATTTATATCAACAATCAACATACGTTTACATCATACATAGAAATACGTTTGACTATTATCGTAGCAGGTGTGTGAAGATATTGTTGACAAAATAGTTTGCGCTTGCGACTTTATCCTTTGTACACTGAAACTGACTGACCGGTAACGTATAGAAAGTACAGTGCAGTTACAATTTCTGATAGCGGCGTTTTTTTTTTCTAGGATTTATGACTTGATCAATCAAATGTGTTTACATACGACGAACTCTTTTCACGTGGCGTTTTTTGTTTTCCTATTTATCGAACAAACAAACCTCACATATTTACGCGAGCGCACGTGTCAACCGGTCATGTATCCATAATGTCGTGGGCGAGAGACACGGCGATCCGTTTGATCGTCTCCCGAATAGCGGACATTCCGCTCTCTCAAAGGCCCCCAAGATTCTCCAAGTCGTTGGAGTAGAAATTCGATTTAATTTTGTTCGGATTCGGCCCGACTTCGGTACGGGGTTCGGGGGGGGGGGGGGGGGCTGCGGTGACGTCGTCGGGAGCCGGGCCAAGGGGGAAGTGAAGTTAGACTCGAGACCACATTCTTAGTTAGTCCTCGGGGATTAAAACGCTACGTTATAAATACGTGAAATGAGTAGAATATTCAATGGCAGCCCGCACTCGATTCGTATGAAAGACGCTTTAATGACAGCTGTGAGAGTAACCCCTTTTCGTATGTTCACTAAAATGTATAGTTTATTATCAAAACATTGTAATGTTGCCAGACGATTGAAGGTCTGATAACGAGGCAGGTAATAGCAGGACTGGCAGTGAACAATTGTCGCTCTATTCTATTAAATGCAACCACGTCGTGGCCTGATTCTGGAGAATAAGTCCGGAAGAAAGAAGTCGATATTACTTAATTTTTATTCTACTTGCACATACAGTTTTATACGTATCACCTTAATACAGGATAATATTAAAGTCATACAATATTAAGCTTGTGAAAACAAAAAAAAAAACAAATAAAACTACTTCATTTTTAATTATGATTTAAATTCCAGACGTTTCTTACTCTTTACACGGTCCTAGGTCACGGGTCAGCACAGTCCGTTGTGACGTTTAAAAGGGAAAAAATGCGGAAACTTGTTTTTTTTAACCAATGTTCGATTTAATACAGGTCATGATTACATTTATCTTGTAATGATTTCCTTTTGTTAAGATTTAACAAGTAGTCTATCAATATACAAACGACCATTGATCACAATAAATTATTTTATACCCGATATATGTTTCAACGAAACCCCACCGAATTCAATTCCCTAATAGGATTGTTTGTACAGAAGTTCCCCGGCTTTATTATCCCCGTAAAGGAGCGGCGAGGGTGTAGATTTCAGGTAAAGCTCTAAAACGGGGCGAGCTTTTATGTTGCGATGCGAACTTTTTATTCCGCCCCGAGATTATACGCGCAGCGCGATAATTTCGACGCGGCATTAACATAAAGAGCGGTCGAGTTATTTGATACAGGGACTGTTGCGTGTCCCAATTTTTTCAGGTGTCTTGGAGGACACCCGATATCCCTACGCACGGTCATGGCTAGTCCCCGAATCGCATTAGCATAATTGTGCCAATCATTCATAGCCCCCCCCCCCCTCGCGCGTACTGTCTTTCCGTGCTTTCAGTATGCGCTCGTGTACATCGGCTAGTGCAAATTTACACACGCCTGTATGTGTTTCTGAGCATTCGAACGGTATGCTTACGCACCGTAAATGATTACCTCTTACCCGTGTACATTTATGCATGCTTAAATGTTACGTTCGCATTCTTAGTAAAATAATAAGCGTGCATTTCTTTAGTTTCGTTAGATTAATTTGAAATTGAGCTGTTAGAGAAATATTCATAACGCACATTATTTTACCAAGGCTAACTACTTTCTGAAGCACATGAAAAATGAACTAGTTTTTACATATTGACAGTAGCCTGAGTTAACTCTGACATTAAGACGTGAAACAAATCAGTCTGTCCCGTGACCATGTCTGAAAAGGGTTCGAAACGTCGGAAATTTAAAAATCCGTAAAATATTTTCAAAAAAAATAATCATTGTTAACTGCTAAATAAAATCTCAGAGATCGGATGATAGCATATTTAGTATTACGTAGTATTAATGAGTTTTGCTTTTATATAAAATGAGCCGTGCTCAATTACAATCGCTACCAATCGAAAGTTCTGATATAGTCTCAGTTGGTAAAGACACGCACACAACAAAGGCGTGTTCACCCACACTCGGAAGACACTAACTTAACAGCTTCCGGTGTTATTAAAAAAAAAACGTTATTACAACTTACTTCGATGTTCGAATGGCTCGTTGTAGTAAGGCTTCCGAGTTAAGTGGTTAATGCCATTATTGTAATTCGTAAAGCCGAGTCGAGAGCGCTGCAAACAAGGAGTCCGAGGTAATACGATTTTAGGGACCCGACAGGTGGCGGCGTTTCGCTTTTGAATATTTTTTCCTCCACCCCTCCCCCGGGCCGTTTATCCCCGCGCCCCGCCCAGCGCGTCTCCACGAGGTGCCTGCTAATAATTGATTAGGGTTGCAAGCGATGTATCGCATGGCGATTACGCAAACGCCGCATTGTCGACTTTAAGGTTAACACATCCCAGGTGTATTATAGAGCCGACAATAAGGTGTGCGATTCGACAAGGACCGCTGTCTTGAATTTGACAAGTCAATCGTTTCAAAATTGGGCCAATTTTAACTTGGAATATTTTTTTTTTCTTTCGCTCACTTCATACATCCGTCTGTAGACTCTCGTCTTTCGTTTTATTTGTACTGTAATAATAATAAAAATGCCTCCTTTCTTTTAACGCTTCGCCTTTTCGAACTATATTTTGTCACAGTATCGGTCGATGATTTGATACTTTACACGGTGGCAAATTAGTATCGTCAAAACAACGCTGCCCGGCTTACACATAACTATCGAAAGTTGTCTTCTATACTGGTAGATGGCGTTCCAACTCATAATGTAATATCGAACAAAACCACGTACATTTCAAAAGCGGCGGCTGAGAGAAACGAATCCCGCCATAAAAGCCCTATACCCCTATAAAAACTGGTAACAATTATATCCAGCGCGGAGTAAATAATTGTAAGACACGACGTTAAAAGGGCCTATCGCGGATCCTTTACGATTATTCGGTTACCCGACTAGGGTCTTAATTAAAACCGGTTTTCGCCCTGCAGCTATGTTACAGACGTTTGATGGACTATGAAATTATATTCGCAGAGTATCGAGCGCGCATTGAATTTATTACAACGCTTTCCGTATTTATAGTGGTAGGGCCGGGCAGTATTCGCTGTTGCACGAATGGGCAGACGGTTTTCGCTTAACATCACGTTAAACGGGAGCTGACTTGCTTTCATTCCTTAAAAAAAAGTACGGCTTACTATTATGTGTTACAACAGGCGCACATAGGGCTAACAAAGAATATATAAACACCTTAGGCCTATTGTTAAGTCTGAATCCGCGGTGAGTACCTACAATAAAAGCACGACTATGGTAAAAGTGTATCCATACGTGTAAAACGAGGCAGGTGGGTCAGGATAGAAAAGAGTAAGTAACAGTTGTTAAAAATAAATTGCAAAAAATTTCTAGGGGAAATCTAAATGCTTTTAGTTTCGTCCATCGTCGCTATCGTCGTTAATTAAATGTAGTATTAAGTAAGCGACTAGAAGCTCGCGTGCGTTAATTTCAACGATTTAACGGCCTCAGTTTAAAAGGGCCTTTAATCGGGAGAAGGCATCAAGATAAATATGCAGCGGTGGTCGCTTTGCTCGGACGAGCGTCGTTCGACCCTGAATTTAGCTACTTTATTGTTGGCGTAAACAATACGAAATAAATCAGTTGTACTTTGTGTAATTCGAGATGAGGGAAACGGTCCACTGGATCGATAACGTAATTCTGATGCTTGTCTTTTTTAGGAGATTCTTCAATACTCGGTCATTTTAAAAATTTTACTGCGATTTTACTAATGCGTGGAACGGCACGACTCGGGAAGCGTCACGTAGACTTTCTGTGTGACGTAGTTGGTAACATGTCTATCTAAGAATCACTAGATTTTTGGATAGTTTTCTCGCTGGCTTTGAATATAATCGGTAAATTGGACACACTATAAAAAAACATTGAGCTCTTATTCCATCTGTTGACACTTCGATGTATCGAGTCTATTGAATGGAATATGTAATATCGATCTGAAAATAAACTTGCACCTCTCAGACTTTGGTCCGATTGTGTCAGTGTCTCCGTTGAACTAAGCCCCGGCGGTCGGTGATTAATTGGTTCATTAATAACGTCCGCCTTACCGAATATCGTTTCGCTCTTTTTGCGTAAGACCGATTATATATGTATGTATGTATGTATGTTTTTCGAGGCACACAATGATATTGCAACAGATACTTCGCCGTACTTTTACTATACAAAAATTGACGAAAACCCTGCAACAAAGCTGCGGATGTGTCTAAGTATTGAGAATATTTATTACCATTGTATAAAAAGAACATTATTTAGTTTGGTTTCGTGGCATGATACTTTTGCGCGAGCCTTTTATTTGAATAATACATTCTTTAGCATGGTTTAAGAAAACGGCGTGATATAAAACTGACATATGTAATCGTTTCGAATGAATGTCTCTTAATATTTACTTAAAGGCTTCATTTTATAACTAGAATTTCTCTTAAAATTTTCCTTCTTTGTAGAGACACCTATGATCGTTTACTTTGTGTTTTAGCAATTCATACTTTGATAATGGATTTCGCATCGTTATAGAATGAGTCAGTGAAATCGATAAGATAATGATTTCAATTATTGAAGTTATACTTCTTTTGGCTCGTTAGGGAAAAATGGTGAGAGTAAAATTTACGATGCGCACGCACACTGTCACGAAAAACCGACACCCTGAAGTTAGCTAGACATTTACGTATGTTTGCGTGAGAACTGACGACTGTATTCACGATGTTTATTTTGTGATATTTAAATAAACTTTATTTAATTAGATGCGTTATGATAAAACTTTCAATGTATTAAATACTTTTATTTATCTTGTTATTGTGGTTACAAACGTAGAATAAGGTGAAAGATAAAATTTTTGAAAAGATTTTTATCTTGTTACGCCAAAGAAGTACTATTATTTCTAACGCGTGTACATAAGTACACACACACTTTTTTTATTTCACTTAATCAGAGCTATTCTACGTATATCGGACTCAAATTAATGTTTTCAAAATGTAACGGTTTACTGTCTAACGACGCCAAACAATCACACTTTATTGCTTTCCGTTACAAAAATTACGCATAGAGTACATATACTTACAATAGAGTTTCATTAAAAGGAAACTGAACAAAAACATGAAATATTCCGATTGTAACCGTTTGTACAATATTTAGGTTTGTGAAAATCATATTTAAACCGTAAACAAATTGAACTGTTTACATTTTTAATGGGCCCGGGTCAGGTCCGATCGGCCGACGACGTAATCCTCTTACCCGTCGGTTTGTGGTCAACAAACGGACCCTAGAGGAACTTCACGGCACCAACTATCGCACTAAGCCTTATCCACTGCCAGCCAATCCTTTAAGAGATTAACGTGGCTGTTTAGATATCGAGTAAAACTATCCGTTTAGCTTTAACATTGTTATTAACGTATTATAATCAGAAGACATAAAGTCATAAAAAATAATGACTTTACTGGCGTAGACACGGAGATATGTGTTAGTCGAATAAATACCGCATATCATATCGTTGCTTTTAATAAAACATGCAGCGTTTATGCATACATTGTTTACGGTGTCGTTGGCGTCGTTGAATAAATTTAAAGCCCTATTTAGACAGACAAGGGGCTAATAATATGTTCGTACTTTATTGATATTACGTAATTCTAACTTGAAGTGCTTTATCCGTATCAACTTATATTTTGTTTGTTGTTGTTTGCGTGTGTTTTTTTGTTTGTTAAAATCGTAACCAATATTTTCCGTTAATTTGCTTATAATATATATTTTATATATACATATATATTTAATATATATTTATATATAAATATTAAATATATATATTATGTCTTCTTTTGTCGCTTCTTTTGTCTCCTTGCCAGTTGTTGTTTACTTTCCACGTCGTTCATGCGACCGATTTGTGATCGTTATTATTAAAATTAAACCGATGTCCTTTAAATATTCAACGCATAGGATGACTTTCTGTGGCGTTGTCTCGCACCGACCGTTTTTCTATCGATTGTCAATTCCATGTTTGAAAGCTTGCACTCGTTGCTTATTATGTAAGCCGACAACGCATACAACTCACTCGCCGTGCAAAAGTGCTAAGGTGTGTTACGACCCAATAGCATATTTATTATTGTGCATTCGACGTGTCCATACGACGTAACGTATCACTCTCTATTGAACATTGGCATTTGAATACTTGTATTCGTCTTTCTCATGTCTCTTTATTCGCGTATGTGCAATTCGGTAAGTTTTATTTCCTATTCAATTGGCAACCGATTCTGAAATCAATTTCGTTTTAATACACTGTATACCAGAAACAGAAATTATACCTTATATACATTACTGAATGAATAATGCTAAATATTAAATAGACTAAATTAATCCACATTGCGAAGAAAAAGTTTGCCTTGTCGTTGCTAATAAAAATATTTAATTTCCCGCAATTATCTCTTCGTACACCGTTAGTCATGTCACAGAGAAAAGGGAGTTTAAAGAGAATAAAAACCTTTGTCTATTTGCATTCCGAGTGAGCTCCTAAACAAATAGCCTACATTACGCAGCCTACATCGACTGGATGTCTGTATACGTCAATTTGCAAAGATACGGTACGATACGTGTCCGTTCGAAGAATAAAAATTCATTCACGTCGAAAACGTTGAGCGGATTTCGGCGGCTTTCGGCGTCGGACTTAAGGCTCGTGCGGCTGCATGAACTAGTTTGCCGAAATGCACTTGGAACTTAGCTGCTCTGATTTCGATACATTACTATTGTTAGTTGGAAACAAAAGGCGAATACGTACACGAGCTTTTGTGGGGTCGTGAAGTTTCACAGACTATGATGTCACATGAAAAACATTTTCGCGCCAAATGGTGTTAAAATACTATTTTATTAATATGGGTTTACTTACACATAGTCTGATATATGCGTTGAATATAAAGTGACACAAAGATGACAAAACCTCCTCTACAGTGGTACGCAACAACGGGGGAAGTACCAAGACCTCACAGAATAGCGGCGTGAACTGGAAGTATACTTTCGCGGCTTGTATGCTGAGTGAGGTAACCGGGGCTCACTTGTCATTTAACGGTTGGCAACGCACCCGCAACCCCTCTGTTTTTATAGATGTCCAAGAGCGGTGGTATTCATTTAACGTCATGTGAACCGTCAATCCTTAAAAACACCCTCGATCGCAATGCCCTGCCACATTAAAATTGTATTAATTCGGTTAATGTAAAGTTTGTTTTGATCGCAAATAAATCTGTGCTCGAAAGTAATAGAATGATACCAAACGCATCCAAATTATGAATGTATGAATAATAAGTAAGTGGATAGTACTAAAGGAAATAAATTATAAAGCCGTGTGAAGCAAGAAAAAAAGCGGTTAGGTTTAAATTATTATCTCAAAATAAGTTGAATGATAGTTATCTCAAAATGTAACTAAGTGGTATTTTTAATCGAAAATTAATAAGCGTTCTCCACGAAGAGAAATTGACCTTCCAGTGGGCAGGGTGGGTATAACCACGGTAGCTCTCATGATTGATGACACCAATATATTTCGAAATATTGCAAATTGGCAACGTGCCGACTTCTCGGCGCATGGCGCTATCGCGTACATAGTGGCCCCCGTCTGGGATTTTTCACCAGCCCTGTCGCCCGTCGCCCGGTTGGACGGTGGAATGTGGCGACCCTACCGTCGCTTTACCGTTAGCCTTATCGGCCCCACGGCGCCGCCTCGATTGCTCCCGGCTCCACGCGAGTTGATTTATTATTTATAGCGTTCAAAATTCCGCTTTCCTGTTCCACTTTGGGGTGAAATTGTCAATGCGCCACGTGCGACGACTCTTCGTGTTCCTCGTTATCGCTGGGCCGTCATTGGCGTTGATATATTTTAATAGTGGAATAGTCTTCGAAACCACGCTTGAGGTGAAAGGTCGTGGACTGTGATATATCTATCTCTATCGTAATAAATCTTGATAAAATCTTCGTGTTTATCCTGTTGAACGATGTGAAGTAAACATAAAATCTTCATGTCGGTTGTGCGTTGTTGAGTACATAATTATTTCTTTAATAAGAAATCATTACCTTAATAGAGTTCGGTTGCATTTTACGGCACTGCAAAGGAACTCTGATGAGCCGCACTCTCAATTAATTTTCGCATAACAGTACTTCAAATCGAGCCCGAAGCTAAGTTTTATAATAGAAATATATTAAACTATATTTTTTCATTGTATTATTTTTTCATTTCAAAATACACACAGACAATTTATAGTGTTTGTAATATCATATAGATTTCGATTTTAAGTAGGCTGTAAATCCGCAAAAATAAAGTCGCTTGAGTAAGTTTTTAATAAATAAAATGTCTTGCTAGCGCAAACCGGGTAAAACTAAGTTCGGCGGGAGAACTTTTCTAAAGTGGAACGCGAGAGCGTTTTTAAAAAATGTAAGCGTCATGAGTTCTTACGGAACTGCAAAAAGAACGGATTATCACAGTCGATTATTATACGCGATTTACAACATAATAATTTTTTAAACAATAATTTCAAATACTACAACTTTTCGCATATAAACATCACATGATCAGTTGTTAAATAAATCAGATGAAGTAACTCGATTGGCTCGCGAAACCTTTGGAGTCCTTGTTATTCTTTGAGCATTTTGAGAGATTTGTACCTTTGAATTTGTTACATAGTTCGTTTGTGTAGCATCTTAGTAGAAAAACCTATTAAAACCTACCTGTTAAAAGCTATTTGCTTTCTGAGCTGTAATTATTCTGATGTTTATTGCAGTATTTGGATGCCTGATGCCACGACTTTAGGTTCGGTGTAGATGATGTAAACAGTTTGCTTATGATGCCTTTTAAATCACATTTCCTTACTTTCTAAAGTTACTTCAATGTAAAATATCTCGAGTATTGAGCCTAGAGTTGTATCACAATCAATAGCGAGACGCGTCGTAAGCTCAGACTTTAACTTTGTCTTTTATACTAACAGATAACGTCTTTATAATCGTAAAATTACTAAATAATAGCAAATCTTTTTCACTTTAATTTTTTTTAATTCAAAATACTCCAGTAACTCTAATAATTCTATAAAATAATCCAATAATTCTAATAAAATTGTTAATTTTAAGCGCTGACTTATCACTTGCTCAGCGGTGAAGAAACCTGCAGATTCGAATAAAATATTTTTAAGATATGTGAAGTCTGCCAATCCGGAGTGAGTCGCGTGTTGGACCATAACATCTGTTTAGAGGCCTTTGCCCAGCAGTGGGAATACATATAGGGTATTACTTCACTTTTAACTTTAGGCAAATCTGCTCGATCGAGAGTCAAGATGCGTATGCGCGTCGACCGTGGGAACGCAGATAAGCGAGCGGGGCTAGCTGCAGGTAATTGGACCGTTTCACATCGAGCTACGTGAGTCGTGGCGTGGCACCGTTGTCCCTTCCCTCTGCCGTCGATATTTTAATAGGTGTGCTTTCCCCCATCGCCTCGAGTGTAACGTCGGCGAAACGTGAATAGCGCCAATTGACTTTTTTTTAATGTGACAAAGTGACGGTTCACCTGATGTTAAGTGATAACCGCCCCCCACAGACATCTGCAACAGCTATATTGCTACAGACGAGTTGCTAATGTTACTGGTGAAAAAAATGTTACGCGTCACGAATTCTTAAGGCAACTGCAAAAAAGAAGCGGATTTTTTTTATTTGAGAAGGTGGCAAATGAACTAACGCTTTTTACCTGATGTTAAGTGATAACCGCCGCCTATCAACATTTGCAACACTCGTAGGGTTGCAAATGCAAATGTTGCGTTGCCACGTTTTAATAAAGTAGGCCCCGGCTACCTCACTCACCAGATGAATCGTAGAAGAATAACATATTTACTTCACGCGGACTGACCTGCCCATTTGTGCAATAGAGAAGACTGTTGCGTGGCTCTATCACAGTTAAAGCGGATTATCACAGTCGATTATTATACGTGATTTATTACACACTAGCAACCGGCCCCGGCTTCGCACAGGTCAAATGTATTATACATATAAAGCTTCCTCTTGAATCATTCCATCTAGTAAAAAAAAGCGCATCAGGATCCGTTGCGTAGTTTTAAAGATCTAAGCGTACATAAGGACAGACAGACAGCAGGATGACTTTGTTTTCTATTATGTAGTTAAATCGTTTTTTCAACAATAATTTTTAATTCACGTACCTATTTCCATAGATAAAAATTAGTAGATCAGTTATCGTTATGCATTCCGTATCGCATCCAGTTTTGTTCGAAGATCTGCGATATTCTTAGAACCCGCTAAGATCAAAGGCTATCCCGAGTTTAGTCTTTATTATTAACCGATACTGCCGTGTAGTTGGATAGCGTTTCGTTTCTTCTTCTTCGGCGCCGGTGAACGATTAATTTAGACGTTCAAGTTTGACATCTAATTTTTAAAATCTTTACTAATATTATAAAGGCGAAAGTTCGAAAGTATGTGTGGATGGATGTTTGTTACTCTTTCACGCAAATACTACTGAATGATTTTAATGAAATTTACAATAAAATAGCTTATACATCAAAATACGACATAGGCTATAATTTATTTACATATTTTATGTATATCTATCTTTCTGTCTGAATGTTACGCCTTCAGCCTATTCTACGCAGACGTAGTCGCGGGCAGCAGTTAGTAAAGATATAATTATTGCGTTGTGTGTGTATTTTACTTCTTTTAATATATCACTTACATAGATAACGGTGACGTTACGCATCTCATGACAAATAATAACGCTCTGCAAGCTTTTAAACGTACTTATGTCAATATATGTATCACTTAGACGTGTTACGAACTAAACACGCTTGCGTTACGATTTCTCGTCGTTTAGCGTGTAAACGTAAAATACTGAAACAACAAGGCTCGCCCGCTCTCACGCTGAGTGCCGAGCAACGGACGACGGTTCTACGGTGGGGGCAAACAATACATTCGGGTAAATAAGGCGGCGGCAAACTCGATCGGGCATTCTGTCTTCAACATTACGATCATGGGACGTCGGCTCTATTTAGACCCGCAATAATCAGCTCAGCTTATGACATGTGTACGTTCAATAAGAAGGAAAATGTAACAAAACTAAAGCGTCTTATTACATAAACGGAGTAATGTGTATAAACGATTAATGTGCCTATTAAATTCACCAATTTATTTCTGTATATCATATCGTTTGTACTTGTGATCTATAGCTATTTTTCAGATACTGAGTGTTTGTCTTGGTATTTATAACTTTACCTTTTTGTAAAAGTAATAAAAAAAAGTCAATATAAATAGACTTGATAAGTTTTACGAAAGTTAATTTGTTAAAAAGACGCGAACATTTAAATTACTCTAATGGTAAAATAAATATCAACCATTTTTAATGTTATTGTGATGATAGTCGCTGTTTTACGAAAATCTGTTTTTAATTGACGAATCTGTGGCGCAGTTGCCAAGCAATTGGGTTAGTCACCGGAGGCAATGGGTTCAATTCCCGCAAGCACCGTACATGTCCCGTGTGGGAATTTAATAGATCATTGTTCTGGGTGATATTTGTTTCCAAGGAGGGTTGAAAGTCATGCAGGCGGCTGGCCGTAAAAAAGCCCCGCTAATACCACTAACAATGGGATACGTATGGGGTTTGCACAACACAATAGTAGTGCCGACCTCACCCGTATCCCGGGCGGGAGAACAATGATGTTTTTTAAAAGTTTTGCTGAAATAGCCTTTACCCTCAAGACGAAACTTACATGTTAATGTTTTTATGTGCAATTGAAGAGCAAAGGCAAATTACAAGTGTTCATTGTTAAATATTCTTTGTAAGGTGTCTAATACTCATAACACTCTGTTGCTAAGGTATTGGCTTCGGCGTCGGGGTTCGTGCGTTCGATTCCCACACGGTACAACTATTTGTGCGACCCACAGATAGTTGTTTCGCATCTGGATGTTTGTCCTCGTGCAATTTATATTTGAGAACGTCCTTACAACACAGGATAATGTTATCCTAAAGTTAGGGCAATGTTTTTTAAAAATAAAAAAAAATGCCATAAAGTGTGCAAACTAGATGACGCCATGCATTGCTTAAAATTCTGTAAGGAACGAAGATGTCGATATTTTTGCGCAGTGAGGTCATCGGCTGCTTAGCTTAATTGCCCACAAGACCTAGATTCGATCCCCACAGCGCCAAATATTTTTATTCATTTATTTACAAAAAATCTCATTTTAAGTTTCGTCTTGAGAACGTTACCAACAGTCTTGTAACGCTATCTCTCACTTAAAAAAGTCAATACGTACTTACGAAATCAGGTTAGAGTCTCTCGTAATATTCTAAGAGCTACCGGTCTAAGAATTTAATTTCGTACAAACTATCCCATTCAAAGCCAAGTTACGAGTAAGCTCTACGTGCTCACTCGTATTTTAACTTCTTTAGCATCGACCAAAATAAAAGTGGGATAACCGCTTCTACAAATGAACATATCGTTGGTTAATTAACACATGAAGTACGCAGCTTTATTATAATCTTAGGGACCTTTTTAGGGTTCCGTACCAAAACGGGACCCTATTAGTGAGACTCCGCTGTCTGTCTGTCTGTCCGTATGTCCGTCTATCACCAGGCTGTATCTCATCAACCGTGATAGTTAGACAGTTGAAATTTTCATATGAAAAACCAGAAAAAAAAACATATTTAAGTGGAGTCCCTATACAACATATTTTTTGCTGTTTTACAGATCTCCCTTCGTGAGCGAGTCCGACTCACACTTGGCTGGTTTTTTAATTATAGTCTTTATTGGGGAAGAGAAAATATTATATTGCTTACTTACGCCGATCACGTTTTATTCCAACTATTTTCGATGTCGCTCCGACTGTAATGGAATATCAGACGCAACTGTTACCTATTTTACGGCCGCCGAAAACCTTTATTCGTTTCGAGTCGGGAAAAATTCCCCGAACGTGAAATATCTTCATGAGATAAACTATTTCATCTACTTCCGATATTACGGAATTTCGTGTCTGTAATAAAAATTTGTAGTCAACGGGCGAATAGGGCTAAAGTAATCTATTTTCGTTCTAATTTTATGGGAGTGTCTATTACACTGATTATGTTAACTTTGCGTTGCTTCTTGTGTTGTTCTTTTTTAGGTTTCTGTACACAAAAGGTAAAAATGGAGCCTATTACTAAGACTCCGCTGTCTGTCTGTCTGACTGTGACCATGATAATTCGACAGTTGAAATTTTCATAGATGATGTATTTCTGTTGCCTCCATAACAACAAATACTAAAAAACAGAGAAAAGAAATATTTAAGCGGGGCTCCCATACAGCAGACACCCAACAGAACCCTTTGTGCGCGAGTCCGACTCGCACTTGGGTGGTTTTTTTTATTCATTCAGTGTCAACCGCTATTAAAATGATTGCGATAAAGCATAAATAAGTTATTAAGGCACACCATTTGTTTTTTTTTTTTCATTATGCAGTAACACATGAACATATCAATTACAGACGAACTTACATAGGAATGTTGTTATAGACGCCGCGACGTAACCTAAATACGAAACACTACGATCATATTTGAAAACAATGGCTTTTTCAAATTTAGAATCTCGAATATGTAGTAAAACGGAGCGCCCATCAAACCGTGTCGTAATTGGATTGCGGTCGGACGGTGGCGCTACGGTGGGTCCACCGAACGACTAGTTCCGATACGGCGGTGACAAGAGCTCGCGCCGCGCGCTCGCAAATTGACTCGTCACTCGATCACTGCGGCCGTAATGACGTTGTGAATGCGGCCCCGGGGCCCGTGCTGCACTCCGAACGACCAGTTTTTCGCTATTCGACCGCACGTCGATCGGAAGTCTTGGCCTTATAATGAAAATAATGGTTTTTCAAGTTACACTTCTTGTGGCGCGTTTGGAGAAAATTGCAAGAGTAAAACTTTCACGATGCGCACGCGCGCCGACGGCCAAAAAGCGGCACGATGTGCTGCTAACTTCACCGTATTACCATGGCAACCAATAACAACTTTTTTCATTTACCTATAAAGTGGAATATAATAACAGCATATACATGTCCCACTGCTGGACAAAGGCCTCCTCTGTACAGAGCGGATTGGGGCACTTCACATATCTTCGAAATATGATTTTGTTATTATTTTGAAAATATGCAGGTTTCCTCACGATGTCTTTCTTCACCGCCGAGAACGTGATAAGTCAGCACTTAAAATAAACAATTTCATTAGTGCCGGCACAGGGGATAGAACTTAGGTTGCTCGAGTATATAGAATTAAAGGCGAGCGCCCGGACACTGGGCTATCACGACTACAACCTATAATATATTTACCTATAATTCCGAGGTATTTAATTAATTCGTTATCAATTGCATATAATCTGTTTTTCATAAGCAAAGAGTACTGGTACAGAGGATCTTATTTTTAATTATTTTTTTTACGTTAAAGAAGTACATTTTCTTACGTGCGTACATGAGTACACACATACTTTTTTTATTTATTTTACAATCCACGCCACGTGTCGTATGCGAATGGCAAGTGCAGTGTAATTGTGAAATTAAATTGCATTCAGCTTCTCATTTCTCATTTCGCATCAATTGGATTACTCTCAGACTGCTACCGTCGGCGTGTAACGAAGCGATTGCGATTTACCAAAACGCTCGAGTGCAATAATAAGCCGCCGGATAAAACGCGCCGGCGGTTGCGGAGCGTTACGGTAGCCGCTTGCTTTATTTGCTCTCATTACGCGCCGGTCTCGAGGGTTAAGGGTGAGGACGCAGTGCGTAGGCGGAGCGGAGGCGGAACGGGCCATAAACGCCGCAAATCACTTGCATTATTGTTGGTTGATCTTAGAAATATATGACGCGGAACCTCGTCGCTTTTTAAATCAATCACAAAATGGATTAAAATTAGCAATTACTACAAGTAACTAGAACTCGTATCTATATTCCTACTAAGGGTAAGGATTTACACTAATTTTTGTATTTATAAATAACTAGCTAGAAAAGGGTGAAGACATAACATTCAGACAGAAAGACAGATATACATAAAATATATATACAAATTATAGCCTATGTGTTATTCTGATGTATAAGCTATATTATTGTAAATTTCATTAAAATCCATTCATTAGTATGTGCGTGAAAGAATAACAAACATCCATCCATACATACAAACTTTCGCCTTTGTAATATTAGTAAGGATAAAGATAAAGTCTTAAGAAATTTGTGACGAAGGTCTTAAAGCCGGCAAAAAACACCAAAACCGACCTTGTCACTTGGGTTTGGTGGTAATACCTGGGACGCGGGAGACTTCGCGAAGATGAAAATCGGCGTACACTAAGATCACCCAGACTCACAACAACAATTTATGGATCACGAGAAAGTTTATCTCGATCGAACTGGCAGATGCGAAGTCTTATACTATTGACCCTATCCGTGCAGTCGAATTAAGATAAATTTATGACATTCAACACTCAAATTTGATCAATAAATACGTTTAGAAAAAATATGTACGATGAATCATGTTGCTTAATCTATATTTATCATCATCTACAGCTTGAGGACTATTGTGAAGACCGTTTCGTGAGGATTAAAAGCAATTATGTTGTTACTTTTATTTCAATGAAGACTTGCCCTTTCTGGATTGTACATTTCACTTTATATTGCCGTTGAACGAAGCGGCTTAAATTTTTTTCTCGGTTTATTCCATTAAAGGATGACAGCATACATTTTTTATGAAGTTTTTGATTATACTATTATTTTTAAAAGCTTGAACAAATGTCTCATTTGTTCTTGTTCAGTTTACGATGTATTTGCGATAACTATCTACTATTTCGATTTAATTATATGACATAATGTTAATTGAGCATTCTGTAATTTAAAAAAAAAATATTTTATTTTGACAAGAAATAACCAGAAAAATATCAATTCCAACATTGTTTATCTTGTTAAGAGTGGTCACCCTATTGATAAGCGGTTTAGTATGTGTTTAGCGAAAAGTTTTAGTGCTCATCAAATGGTTATTTTTTGAGACGGTAAGGCTGGAATTTCTTAAGGTGTCCATTATGTTTGAAAAAATTAAAAATAATTTTTGAAAAAAAAAATGTGGCACAAGTACGTACCAGATTCAGATTTAGAATCAAATTCTGCTTATGCTCTGTTAATATGTCCGTCGTCTATAAAATCACCCTATACATTGATCTGTGTCAACCTTGTTTGAATAAAGTGATGTATGCGCAAGTTTCTTTTTTTACTTTGTTTTTCTGTGGTCGAAATACTACGTGGGTTCCAGATCAAGCTACTTATGTAAATAGATATCGTTATCACCCGAATACGGCAACGCCAAAAAAGAGGAATAAATAATGTATTTTATCGGTATACATATGTGTCCGTCTCTGTTCCTTTTAACTGCCAAATAGCTTAACCGATTTTGATGAATTTAGATGAATTTGATATATCGTTATTTTGATGAATTTGATATATCGTTAGATTTTATATTTGATGGGAGCCACGGCAATTCTTCGGACGAGTCTTAAATATGTGTTTTTTTTTTAAATATTCATATTGCTTTTAATATAACTTTACGAAGTATTGTAGCTCGCTTATATTTTTATTGACCGACATGCGCATATAAACAAGCACGTTTTATTGTCAAGTAATATTCATGTGGGCGCATTCGCTCGCGGAGTGTGTAATTTCCAACATTAAGGGTCGGTTTATACGGCCGCTTTATGTCATTGTTACACTTTACAATCTTGTTTCTTCGCCCGTGACATGAACTTTGCGGTTTGCAGAGAGGTTCGCGGTGAATCTCTTTACTCCTAGATCAATAAAAATAAAAATCACACCACGATTCTGCCAGGCGTTGTGTTCCATGTACATAATTCGATATGGTACATTTTTAATTCACTTCAGTTCAAATCATTTATCCAGTTCATTGTTATTTAATGAAACGATTTATACGAATCTTATAGCCTTTAAGCCTAAATCTCAACCCTTGGATGATTCAATAGACACGAACTGTGTAGTAGCAATACTTATCGCAATGTTCCTTTATTTTGGCCATTCTTCAAATAAAATCGCTTGCTGGGTTTGACAACTTTTCACATAAAAAAATCATTAGATTTTATGTATTGTGCAGTGTTAGCGGATCGAGAAACTAATTAAGTGTATTCACTTTAGCGTTATACAAAAGAGAATAACGCAAAAGAGCCGCTCAAGAATCCAATAGACATTAAGTCATTTGACATTGACTCGACCTTACCTTCGATTCATCTACGTGCAATTGTCTTGGCCTTGTCGAGTTTTTAATCTGAGTTTTACTACTCGAGTAACGAGGATGGTTTTTGCCACCTTTTTTTAAATGTCATTAATTGTTAGTTAACATTTCTTATCATCCTTCATAGTTGGTTTAAAAAATATGTTTATTAGAATTGATTTCTAGGTTTTATTTAAAATCAAAATTTTTAAGAATTTAATTTTTTTCCAATTTCGAACCTAAAGTTATGTACACTTTTGTTCACTATATTTGTGATCTATATAAATCACGCCCTAGAAATAGTTATTTAATTTTTTTTATCATATAAATTTTAATTGACTTACTTCTAATAGAACCACTTAAAACTGGCTGCGTTACGTATATTACAGTTGTTGGAATATTGTCCAGTGTTCAGCCTTCGAAACAACACAACTTCCGGCACGCGGCCTACACTACACTATGATGGCAACCCTAGCCGTCACTCTGTGTCAGAACCGACACTCTTGACATTCATACGTGTCCTGTATCACGTGATGACACCACTGCGTTTTGCGCTTGTAACCACACGTTATTATCGCATAATATTTATTAATTGAAAGTCGATAAACGTTTTGTTTTTAAATGATACAATGGTAGTGGGCTTTTGGTTCGTATGATGAGTTACTTCCGCGTTCTATTTTTATTTATTTTTAAGACATAAAAACTATTTGACAAACAGTGCCTCTATCGGACACCGAATGGTAATATAATAATGTGCTTTTGCAATGAGAGGTATCTTATTTTGAGGACAGTTAAAATTCAGTCCACTTCGCTATCTTTCATTCAAACGAATTGTCAAAAGATGGCATTGTCACACATTCTTATAAGAAGTTTTTAAACGAAAGTTCTTGTCAAAATTGACAATCTTAAGCTTTAACATGTATATATTTGAATCGTTAAATCTGATGAAGAATTATGGAAGATATGGGCTTTTGACTAAAGCACCTTGAAGAAAGAATATATATAGAGATAATAATTATCCGTGCTCGTAGGGAGCCAGTTTGGTGTAGTCGTCATACTGACTGAACAGCGTTCTTGTCTTGGAATGCTCACGTAAAAATGTGTATGTGTGCAGGAAGTGACATTTAAGTACTACCACTTCCTGCTACGTAAATCTTTGTCCGGTTTAACCTTTACAAAAAATAGTGTTTAATTACAATATTTTGAACAATATTAACGGTGCAAGTTTTGAAAAAACCTTTTTGTGCTCTTTTTTATGTTTGAAGTTGAATTAAACGCAGTGGTAGCGATTAACTTATGTCTGTTCAAACTTATCTTTAACTTATAAATTTTAATTACGTATTATTAAAATGTTATGTTATTAAAATAATGTATTTTATTAAAATTTGTAGTAAAAGTACGAAAAGATTGTCGCCGCTGTGGGAATCGAACCCACGTCTTCGTATTATATTTTATGTACATTTTAATTCTACACATCCCGTATATAAATGGGTGTAAAAACAGGTATTTTCATCAATGTTTGTTTCGGAGATTCAATACAGATCAAATCATATATAGCCAAATTATAATTTTTTGTAAAAATCTGTGTCCGCGCAAGTATCGCAAATTTCCATTCACCCATCACGACGACTGAATGTCTGGTGTATACCATTTATAAATCGCAATTACATAAAACAGCTCGAGTAAATCCCCACGCATAAAATCCGGGGGTTATTTTAATAAAGCGGCGCCGCCCTGCGGTGATTTACCGTTCGCCAATGAAATATTTATCAGAATCGTTCATTTTAAGCCACCCTAATGGCGTACCGGGCAGGTGAGTCGCTCCGTGTCACGGTACCGCCCGCGATTTAGACCTCACCTCACCAAGTTGCCGGCCTTTGATCGTGACCATCCATTTAGAGGCTTATCCGACCCTGTAATTATATTCCCATGAAAATATAAATAACATTGACGAATATCTGGATTCGAGGCGAATTATTATCCCTTCTGTTTGCTCATCGAAACGTGTCGGATGTTAACTACATTATGGATGAAGGGTTCTGGCTAGCCCACCGGTTTTGCGTTCGATGAAGCCTAATAGTCTAAGGACTGAAAGCGTAACCTCAGTTATACAAATACAATGGATGAAAAGTTCGATTGTGTATTTCTCGTTCGTTTTGAGCGTTTGTTTTTGGTTTTATTATACCTGTTATACATTTATTACTGCGACTCTTTTGACGCATCATATCTTATATATTTTGATTATACAAACTACAAGTAATTTAAGAATAAATCAAACATGTGCATTTTATCTCACTTTCCTCACAATAACCGATTGTTATTACGACTTACTTAGCTGATTGACTTTTGCTTTCAGTCCGTAGACTGTTGAAGTTTCATCGAACGCAAAACTCGTGGGCTAGCCAGAACGGCACGGGTTGGAGATGTTACGTAAGATGTATTACTCAAGCTATTTATATTTATATCACACTGTCCTATCACATCTGATGGCAAGAAAATATCGTTAAAGGCGTGATGTTGCTCGTTAAATTAGGCAAGGGGTAGCGCACAGGA